GAGTAATTATTTTGATACACATGTGCCCAGAAATTCATGACAGTATTCTAAGTTTTATTAGAAAGATATGTACACATACATGTACAAATTCCAACAAATATTGTTTCTAAACCACCTGTACAGTCTTAACAAACTTTACATTAATGAAAAACATAGATTACAGTATATATATAATTAGTCTAAATTATACATTCTTAAAGCAAAGTGCTTCGACGTATACCCACGTTTAACGTATATAATAATGTAGAATTATAAAAACACTTATACAAGAACATATACAATTTTATAAAAAATTCCATATATTTTCATTACAAAAATCAATAACTTCTCTCTCTATTCTCTAAATTAATGGCTACATTTTGTAAAAATTTCGAAATACCATTTATCTAAAAAAATATACGCGAATAAAGAGCAACTTACCTTATACGGACAAAAAGCACGTGAAACTTTTTATAGCGTAATAACAGGTAAAATTTCTATAAGAAAATTGAAATATTTAGCACGAAATTCTTCAGTCATGCCGCAGACGCGCGGCTCTGGTAAAATGTCGTCTTCTCTTTGGGCTGTGGCGTCACTCTTCTTCTAAATTCTAACGATCGTTGGGAATGGAGGAACAGAACCGGAAGATAACATTATTTTGACTCATGTTTATGTTTTAATAATGTTAAACATTTTAATGATCAGATATAAGCAATATGTAATGAATTAATAATTCCCAGCAAACTTATTTTTATTAATAAATCTTGATTATTTTGACGAAAACAGTACACAATTTGCTACATTTACTTACAATTGAATTCATGGGAAAAACATAGGGGAAAAACATACATATCTAGAGCATAACTAAAATGATTCAGTTTTGATTGGTTGCTATCTGGTACGTATCATAGTGTATTATCTAATACCTAGATGTATTATGCGACTAGATCTATTCACTGACAGATCTAGATCCATTCAGGCCTACTCAGGTACTTGTGATTTTAAACAGAGGCACTGATCTTGAATAGTATCTAGTTGATGATAGAATGGATGAAAATTCGTATAAGTACGATTTCTTGTTGAATAGAGTATAGTAATAGCTATAGTTGACTATAGTATAGTCAGGTAAAGTCAGTGGCAAGCACAATTTATTTCAAAGCACATTTTAATCAAGTGCCAATTTGTAAAGGCACATGCATATAGCTATTGCTACTGGTACCTGCTAACAAACAGGTGAAAAAGTTACCTCTAAGCAATGACGTTCGCATTTTTTTCGAATTTATTCTAATTAACACGTTCAAATCTTGTCATTTGTGCGCACAAAACATTAAATGACCACAACGAAATAGGCGAACTGATGAAATCGTTCGCGCTGCCTTTCTTGACACGATAAGCAACAATTAAATGAAACGGGGCAGTACATCGAAAAATACTACGTTTCATGTGTCAAAATGTCCTCGGAATCTTCCTGGAATGACGTGCCAAATGTTGTGTCGAGACTAAATAATTTACGCTTAGGCCATGAGGATAATGATGAATCTCAACAAAACATGAATCTTACTGCTTCTGGAGATTCATATTCTGAACCTGTCTGTAGTACTCAACCAATTGGTAATGTTACTCTTTCACGCGCCAGAAGAGCACTGAATTTTATTTGTGATGAAGACCAACCAACTTCATCAACAGCTAGAGGTGGAGAACCCTCTTCCTCAAATGGGGATAAGTAAATATCTTAAGAATGTGATTATATTAAATTATGATGTTTCTGCAGGCAATGTTTTTGTAATGTGTTCATATTGATGTTTCAGTAGACCTCCGACAAATGCAGCAAATGCATTACACTTGGAAAGAAGACCTCAGAATCAAGTTGCTTTGGAAAATATATCAACAAGCAGTCAAGCAACTGTAGCTTATAATTGGCAAGGTACAAAAGCAACAATGCGTGAAAGAATTGTTTTTCTTTTCAATAATGAAATATTATCGGACGTGAGCTTTATAGTAGGAAGGGGAGCACAAAAACAACGTATACCAGCTCATAAACTAGTCTTATCTTCTGGAAGTGCCGTTTTTGATGCAATGTTTAATGGAACACTTGCAACAGCTTCTTCAGAAATAGAAGTACCTGATGTAGAGCCTGCTGCTTTTTTAGCAGTGCTCCTTTTTTTATATACAGATGAGATACAGATAGATCCTGAAACTGTGATGACAACATTGTATACAGCTAAGAAGTATGCAGTGTCAGCTTTAGAAAAGCATTGCGTGGATTATTTGAAGAATAATTTAACCAGTGATAATGCTTTCTTACTTTTAACGCAAGCTCGTCTTTTTGATGAACCTCAGTTGGCTGCAGTATGTTTGGATACTATAGATAGATTTACTACAGAGGCATTAAATGCAGATGGATTTACAGATATTGATATCGATACATTAAAAATTGTTTTGGAAAGAGATACTTTGCGTGTTAGAGAATCTAAAATATTTCAAGCAGTCGTCAGGTACATGAATATATATATAATTATTGATTTTAAAATGTATGATTATATTTACCATTTGTTACTGTAAATAGATGGTCAGAAGCAGAATGTATAAGGCATCAATTACCAGTTACTCCAGAAAATCAACGTTTAGTATTGGGAAGTGCTTTTTCCTTAGTTCGTTTCCCTTTAATGTCAAAAGAAGAATTTACTGCTGGTCCAGCACAATCTGGACTTCTGACTAATTCAGAGGCTAGTATTATAGTTACCTAATTTAACAAACATCTTATGTATTCATAAAATAATTTATTTAAACAAATATATTTTTCAGGTTCTTTCTTTATTTTCATATTTTATACTGAATCCAAAGCCAATGATAGAATTTCAAACAATGCCTCGTTGTTGTATGACGGGTAAGGAACAAACGGTTTGCAGATTTCAACATACTAAGAGTAGATGGGGGTATAATGGAACAAGTGATCGTATAAGGTGACATTTACAATAACACATAAATAGTTTCATGATTATGTATTTTATGTAATTTTGTTTTTTATTTGTTTAGGTTTAGCGTCGATAGACGTATATTTCTTATCGGTTATGGAGTTTATGGTAGCATGCATGGTCCAGCGATTTACGAAGTATTAATAGAATTAATACACACTGCTTCTGGGAAAGTGATTGCTACTAATGCAACAAGTTTTAGCTGTGATGGTTCAAAGTACACTTATCGCTTAATGTTTAAAGAGTTAGCAGAAATTTTACCCAATACAATTTACACAGCATCAGCAACATTTAAGGTCTGTTTGATATTTTCTATTTTGTTATGAATTTTCATATTATGATATTATTATTTCAGGGTCCTTATTCACATTATGGAACTAAGGGCTTAAAAACGGTAATGGTGGATAGTGATTCAGGAAATGGGAAAGTTAAATTTGAATTTAGTATTGAAGCTGGAGATAATAATGGAACATCTACAGATGAAGGACAAATTCCTGAGCTTATATTTTACACTTAATAACTCATGTACATAATAACAACATTCCTTTTTTCAGTTTCATTGTCTTTTAAAAAGTACTATATATTAAATTGAAATTAACAAATTTTATATATCAGTTTCTTTGTCAATTATATATTTCATTACTATTGAGTGTAGAGTTTTGAACTAAATGAATCATGAGCATATTGCTAGTCTTTCAAATTTTATTTATGCTGCAGACAAAAGAATAATGCTTTCTATTTCATAATTAATTGAGAGTGTTGAAAATTTATAGATCTCAAAAGGGCCTTATTGGGAGAAGAGACTGATTCGTACCACTGAAGTAAAATTAAAGTTGAAGCAAATAACTTGTTTTTATTAAGTATTATAGTGATTGACTTCTGCAAAATGAAATAAAATTTACTTTCCTACCAAACCCTAAAATAAGTGAAAATTAGTTAAGGGTTTTGTAGGTAAATAAGTTTTAAACAAGCTTGAAGAAGGCAATCATACATTGAACAAGTTGCAAATATCAATATTCATAATTGAAGATAATCTATTTTTCTATCTTTTCAAACAATATGTACATGAGTGGTAAATTTATATATACAGTAGTTAATAATTTTATGTACAAAGAAATATAGATTCTCGTTATCATTGTTTAAAAAATTATTTTGTTTAATTATTTGTTTTTTGGAAAGTGCATAAAATAACATAAAATTCGTATTCATGTTAACAATTAGCATGGAATAATCGCATGCTACAATTTAAAGCTTACTAAACATTGTTTAGAAAAATTAGCAATAAATTCTATAAATTTTGTAGCAAACTGCATATTGTCTGCAGTCAAATGCATGTAGTAACTAAATGGAAGTAACATATTGTTATCTTTCTAGTATTACTTTAATTTCAGAAACATAAATGTAATACTAAAGGAAAGTTTTAATGTATTTTTTCGTTGAAATATTAGAAACATTAAATCTTCCAAGTTTCTTGTTAGTACTGACTAACTGCGCAAACTAGTCAAACACTTATCTATATTTGCACAATAAAGAAAATTGATGTATGAACGCGATATTTTTGTCAATAGCGTATAAGTAATTATTTATACTGTAATTGTATTATAAATCAGAAAAATGCACACAATAGCATTAAAGAATTAAATAAACTATTTATTCATCGAAAAATTTATTTCCAATGTTTCCTAACGTATCTTTAAACTCCTGTACAGTCGTTCTTGTGTTTCGTAATTATATTTAAATTTTGATTTTCATATGCAAAAATTCCGTTTTATTATAAGGTCAAATTATTTAGAATTCTTATCGGATATATTCTTTATCATTAGCTTATTATAAAATTCATAAAATTATTTGAAATAAATATTCAAATACCATATGGTAATAGCGGTAATTTTATAATACATATAAATATATATATTAATATTTAGAATACATGTATGCAAAATATAAAATTAATATGTAATAAATTGAATTGTTAAAATTAGCAATTTTATATTTATACAATATTGTGTTATTAATACATATAAAATTAACGTGGCAACATTAGCCTTCGTCGCGCAAGTCTGTCAGTGTCAGCGTCTTGTACAGTAATGGTACTGAAAGAATGGTAGTGAATGATTTGTAGTATTGGTTAATATTTTTATGAGATCACTCCGAAATTAATTCAGTGATAACTGTTTTGAGCGTATATGTATCATGGGATTGTAGTTTGTCATTAATTTTTGTTAAATGATTAGGTTTGTATTACAATACAGTTTTCTTCATTGGCGCTTAATTGGAGATTTATTGGTATTAGTCATAACCTCGACTTTTTTACAATGTACGTGATTTATTTGTAGAAATTGGAATACCGTAACAGAAACGATAGAATTATTGGTTCGTTTCATGTAATATAGTGATAAGACATTTAAATGGCGTTAACTGTGTGCATGTTTTGACGTTATGAGAAAAAAGACTTTGATAAGGCTGTACATATTTCATCTCTATGGCTAAAGGAAAATTAAGAGGATCAGATTCGAATAATAAGGTAAGATGTAAAATAATTTTAATATTAACGCAAATAGTTTTTTGGCTAATGCATTTTTTTTTAAATAAACAGCTGACAGCTTCAAATGCAACCTTTAAAAATGGGGAGACATATACGTCAGAGTTTGAAATTAATGAAATACCACCTAGTGCCCGCACATTGCTTACAAAGGGTTATATACAAGATGGAATCAATTTTGATTCAGGTTTATTTCTGTGTTTTAATTATGCCTTTATTATTTAGTACATACTTTGTATCTGACATACTTTAAATATCTTTAGGTGCTACTGTGTCAACCCGTGGACGTTTCATGACAGACCAAGAAAAGTTACGATGTCCTAATGAACGTCCTTTGTACCTTTACATACAGGGACATACTAAACATAATGTGGATTGTATGTTATTTCTTTTTCATTTTTTGTGAAACTGAAATATTTATTTGTTTCTTTTTTTACAGTGGCTATACAAAAAATTAATGAGATTATCAAAACTGAACATCAAAGTTCTTTAAATAGGCCAAGTAGATTTACTAATGCACCACCACCTCTTATGAGTTTACATTCCGGAGTTACATCCGTAGTATGTAATATTTGTATATATTGTATATTAACAATATGTCTGTAATGTATATTTTTCTTTAACAATATATGTCCATAATGTTGACAGGAAAAAATTTGTGTTGGGATAGAGAATGCTCCAGAAGGGTTTGACTTACGAGGTAGAATTATAGGTGCAAGTGGTGCAAATTTATTATACATTAGGGGTGAAACAGGTGCAAATGTAACTTTGAGGGGTAGAGGATCACAGTTTATTGATCCAGTTTTAGGAACTGAATCTCCGGAGCCTCTACATTTGTATATAGAGTAAGAATTATTTATATTTTTTTTAATAATTAGTTACAGTTTGTAGTGATAAAATGCATTATATATTTTGTTTATGTAGGCATCCAAAACCAGAAGCATTACAAAATGCAAAACAGTTAGCAGTTAATTTAATTCAAACAATGCAGTCTGAACTACAGTCATACATACAGCAACAACCACCTCCTGTACAGTCACAGCAAGTTATAGAGCAATCACAAATACAACAAAGTATGAATTACACTTTTATAAATATACTGTGATTACGATTTTTCATTCATGGATATTTTCATTTTTTATAGCACAATTTCAAACTATGAATATTGGTACCTTGGGACAACCTAATGTTGTTACTATACAACATCAAGGTAGAACATATTAATAGTTCACGACTTGTAGAAATTCTTTTTCTAACCAATATTAATCATTCTGAACAGATATTATACAACATCCACAAAGTAGTGTAGTAACATTACCAGCAACAATTCTCACTGCTACAGTAGCTGGTGCACCAGGATCTGGTATAACAGTCCCTCCACCTGGAGTACACATTCCTCCTCATTCTGGACCATTAGTACCACCCCCACAAACTCAGGTAATATTTCAATTTAAATGGTGTATGCAACAGCTACTGAAATTATAATTATTGTTCTGTTAATTCAATGTTTCATATAAAGGAGATACAAACATTTATGCCACCTCCACCAGTTGGACAAGTACAATTAATTGGTCCTCCATCAACAGTAAGTCAAGTGCAATATCAAATTCATCCTGGACAACCACTTCAGATTCAAGGGATTCAACCTGGGTCACAATCATCACCTCAACCCGTGACTCAGATGTATGTGATGAGTCAACCACCACCTCAGAATCCAGCTCAACAAAATTTCATTACAAGTAGCAATGTGCCAGTCAGTGGTGCGGTTTCTTATGTTTATACACAACCGAATGTACAGAGGCCTTCTACGCCATCGCAAGGAATAATTGAAGCCGTAAACGTGAATTTACAACAACCACCGCCAGCAGCTCCGATTAATATAACTCAGCAACCACCTCCGCCGCTATTGCATCTCCATTTTCCTCCACCAAATTTTCCTCCAAATCAGCCACCACCTCCAGTACCGCAAACTTATCAAATACAATACCAACAAGTTCAAGCGCCTGCATCGCAATCGCAAACACAGTTTGTGTTACAACCCGGGGAACATATTGTTCCACCACAGTTGCAACAAAATCATGAACAGTCTCAGGCTGTGGCTCAACATATGTTACCTCCACAATTTGAAGGTCATGCTCCTCAGTTTCATTTACAAGTACCACCTCCGTCTACCCAAACTTTCCTAGTTCCTAACGCTCAATCACCTCAACATCCTCAACAACATCCTCTTCCTCCTGGAGGTGAAGTACAACATCAACAAGAAGGATCAGTGGATCAAGGGCCACATCCTCAACCAGTACCACCTCCACAAATTGTACCACCACCATCAGCTGCTCAAATGCCAAATTCTATGAATATTCTTACTAGTATTCCGCCACCGACGCAAGCACCACCCCCACAAAATGCTCCATGGCTGTATCAAACACAGCAACCCCAGCAAATGTTACAATCTCAGGGTCAATTGCAGGTAATGTAATGACATCTATAATATATATTTTAATTAAATACAACATGTATTAATAGTAAAATTTGTATTTCATAGGTCCAAATGCCACCTGCAAATATACCTCTGCATAATGTACCTCCGCCTCAAGTTCAAGCACAGATACAGTACCATGCACAGCATATGCAATATCAGAATGGACATGTCCCACCTCAAGTACATTACACGGTTCAACCACCACCTCAACAATTTGAACAAAAACCTGATTCGTCGGAACAGAAATCTCATGGGGTAAAGAGAAGATTTTCAGACGTTGAAACAAATCCGGTTAGTTTTTAGAGTTTATTATTTTCTCGATAAATTAATTTGCCTTCTTGAAAAATTCTAAAAACATTCTTTTACATAAATAACAGGAAGCATCGCCGTATCAATGTGTTCCCCTGCCTGCTCAGCGTCACGGAACAGGGTAAGTAAAATGATTGAATTATTCTTTATTTAATTTAATATTAATTGTTATATTTATATGTACACAGTATAGTTTTCTTGGAGTGTACGAGAAAATAAAATTTTGATGTGTGAATAAAGCAGGTTTAATGAATTTTAATTACATATTTAAATATGTATTTAAAACATAAAGTAAACATGCTTATTTTTTGTATTAAATTTAAATTGCTATAATATTTGATTAGATTCAAAATCGAAAAACAGTGTTATATTTTTAATGTCTTGAACCGTTTTCTATAGTACCATAAACAGTGTTGGGAGTCTCTTATTTATAAAAGCTGCTTCGTAAATAACTGTTTAGACATGAAGATTGTAAGTTAAATTCTTTCCAGAAATCTGCTTTGATTAAGATGTACCAAACTCAATGAATAAGAGGGGAATGCTTTATTTATTTCCTACTCATAAATTTATTATGAAAAATTAAAGTCACTCAGTATTATAGAGTAAGGTACATTGTTTTTTATTCTTAAAAATTATAATCTGATAATAAATATCTTTACATATTCACAATTAAATTATCTTTAAACAACTGTTTTACTTGTGATAAAGTATGGAATTGATATAAATGTGTATCCAAGTAATCAGGATTATTTAAAGTAGTTGATTGTGAATATTGTGAATTTTTCACAGAATATTATATATTGACAAAAGAGTTTAATTGTGTATGTGTCTTTCCCAAAAGAAATTACTTTTCCATATGTGTCATAAATGAAGTAACAGTTCTATTGTCAGTAGTGATATTTTAGTGGATATTATATGTAATTTAAGCTTTTAGTGCTAGTTAATAATACCTTACAGATTATACGTAAAGCAATTGGGAATAATTTTGATACAATAATATTCTGTGTTCTATAGAAATAAAATACATTTCACATAAAGTTTGGTATGATTAACTACGGCCTGGAGATACCAGGTATTTTTAACATTTCAGAAGTATCCATGCCAGTGCATCAGGTGATATTTGCTTAAATTTTGAAATGTTTATTTATAACCATGGATTGTGCGTTAATAATTTGAAACTGAATTGTTTAAGCAGAGAAGGTGATCGACAGCAGCAAGTCTTACATGGCCCATCACCAACATCTATGGGTCTACCACATGGAGATCGAAACAAGCTGCTAATGCCACCTCCACATCCAGGTCTGTAACTAAGAGTATTTAAGATGAAAGAGTGCTGGATACCTTTTGAAAATTAGAATAATATTACAAAAAATAACTATAAGATTAAATACACAAAATTCAGTGTTAACTTACATTTTTTTTTTAACGTAAATATTTTCATTTTTTAATATTCAATGAATGATATTTTTATGGTTGATCAATCTACTTTTACATTTTTATTTCAGATGGGTATCAAGCATTGTTTCTCAATACTCTTAGCTTGTAGTACATTATTTACTGTAAATATACAGTTTTGCTAAACAGTATGAACTTTGTCTTACTCTTAATTGTGACATGTTTAGTGATCTGCTAAATTTCATGTATTTATACAAATATTTTGCAGATGGACATCAGGATTGTCTACGACATTCATAATGCCACGATAATAGATTGCTTTCTATTTGTCTTTGTTTGTTATTATTTAGAATTAACAAAATTTTCGCTCTATTATATTACATCATTATAATAGTTAACTTAAGCATCTTAATTTTAATGCTTCTTCGTATGGTTTCAATTCAAGCATATGCGTTTTCAGATGTCTATGCAACAAAGTGATTTTATATTTCAGTGATTACTTTTAACACGTATTAACTATAATTATTATCATTCGCGTTACGTTTAAATGCATTATATATTTTAATATAAGTGTTTTAAGTTTAACGAGTTAAATAATTAAGGTTGCATTTCTTCGGATAAAGCGGAGCATGCAAATACATGGATTACTGTATCAACATTAATAAGCATTAATTTAAACATTATTTAACGCTGTTCTTTTTGCGTATAAGCAATTTTCAGAATCAATGCTCTGGATTTTGCAGATAAAACTACATGTACATTATAACGCTGTTTGTTTTATAGCGAATCCACTTTCACGTGATCTCGAGGACGGTTTTAGTTGGAAATTCGGCTGTTGTAGATGCAAATAAATTCCTAATGATAAGTTTTATTTTACAGATCATGGGTTAGGTAGAAAGAGCAGATTGAATAAGCTGAACGGTAATTGTAACACCATACTGACACCATGGACTGAAATGTATTGTGTTCCCTAATAAATGTAGCTCTATAATCAGTATTTATTTTCTTGTTTTTAGTTAGAAATGGTCAATGGCGTGAAATATTGTTACATCGTTCTATAATTTCACAAATTAAAATAATTTAAAAATTAATACAAAAGATTCAATTTTTTTTCTTATACAGTCTCGAGAAGAAACATATTCATCTTGAGAAGAAAAAAAAAGCAGTGACAATTGAATAGTACAATAGTATTTAAATAGCACAAATAGCTTTCTATTTAGCTTTTATAATTTTAAAAGTTTTGTACAAAATTTTTAATTTTATACAATGCAAAAATAATGTACTTGTACCTTTATTTTTAATAACAAACTAATACTACTTAAGCTGACAGTTTTATTACAATATTTCATCACGTTATTTGCCATATTAATTCTGTGACATATTATATATAGTTATTGCATATCCTATTGTATGTCTTGTTTCATTTCATTATTCTCATTATGTAGGTGAGAAACGCAACATGGATCAAAAAACTCCAGGCATGAGTTCAGGTATACTTAAAATTATACATTGTTTGAATTGTGAAACGGACTTTATTACGGATTCATATTCGTATCATAGGAAATGAGCAGAATGCGATGGGAGATACAATGAACATTCATCCAGGAGGTGGACCACCTCTACCTCCCCCTCTTCCACCGCAAGCGCCATGGCAAAGTCATCATGTCAGAGTTCCATGGGGTAGACCACCGCCAATGCCAAGAGACGGGGAGCATCAAGGAGTGTGTCCTACACTACCTCCGACTAATATGCCACCACCTCAAATTAGACCCAGAGGTATACACACTGAATAATGGCAATGTAAATAATTGTTTACCTGTATACATTTGTAAATATAATCTATATGATTCACTTAAATACTTAATACTTCATTAACATTCATGTTCATAATACACGCTCAAAAATTAGTCAAATTATGCGGTTGCTTTGGTGGGTTTTTTGAATCTAAAACGAAAAAATTAGTTTATCTATCGATTTTGTAAATTTCCTTTATACATTTAACTTTTATAATTTATCTTAGGTCTGCGTGTGTAATGTAGTGTTTCCGTGATTATTCAGGACACATTGAAGGTAATCGTTCGCCGGTACAAAATGCAATATTGGAGCATCAATTGAATGTCGAATATAATCAAATGCCACCGTATACGACAAAACCTCCCCCTTACAATTCACATCCATTGATGCAATCCATTTGCAATCCACCGCCACCACCACCGCCGCATCATCAGCAACGACCGCAGCATCCTCCTCAAACAGCGCAACATTATCAGGTGCCAATATCTCAAACATATCAGCCACCGACTTCCTGTCCACCATGGATGAACTAAATACATCCATATAATACCATGAATGGACTTTTTACACTAGTACCTTAAAGATGGCTGATGCAGTCCGTCCAATGTTACGCCATGTTAATCGCTTCAGCTTCTGCGAGTACGACAAAACTTCGTTTATTTGAATTAAATATCGATAGTATGATTAACAACATATAATATGCGACATTATGCTGTGCATTTTATGGTCGCAAAGTATTTTTTTTTTAACTATTAAATTGGAATTATGCACGCGTAAATACTCATTAGCTTTAACGCGTTTATTATCGGTTGTGTGTTAACTCTATTTATCTATTTGCATATAATAAAAAGTATTATTTTAAAAATAATATGCTTTCTTTTGGAATTAATGGATCAACTGACTCGATTGTTAAACTCGTTTAATTTATTTATTACAGATGTAAATCAGTTTGTTCTCTGACGCGTTCAGATAAATGGGGTTTCGTTGTACTCGCGGGAGTGTTAGTTCTTAACAAATGCTGGTTTCAAAAGGCGTAAGAAACATAAATGGATGGCATTGCATTACGTTATCTTCATCAAATTGTTCCATGCGACGGTTAACGATTAATTTAATTGTTCGTTATGAACGTGTATCGCTGCAAAAGGCGCTGTTCTGTAAAAACTGTGTATATGTTACAAATTATTTATGGCGTATGTTTGCAAGGCTTTAGGTAGCGTAGGATAGTAATAAATTTATAAATAACCTGTTATAAGCGAGTAACGTGTGCATTTCTCGTAATTACGTAACACCGTTTCGTGCGAATCACGATTTACAAAGAAAAAAAAATGGATTATAAATTGTTACGACATGAATGCATATAGATATATAATGGGAAATGATATTGATTAGTTCCAAGAAATGCTTTTTAGTATTAACGCACACACGAGGATCTAGGAGTATACGTTTCCTTTTGATTTGCATCTATAATACGTAATTAGTCTTTCCTTACATTTACCATATGCTGTCTATTTATACCTTGTTTCGTTATCAACATACTCTCTGTACCATGTGATATCTGTTTGTAGACAATCTACATACGGTGTATGCAATTTTGTATGGAAACGTGAATAAATTGTTTCCAATGATTTTACGGGAAACTATAAAAAATTGCGGAGTTCCTTCTGCGTGAGAAACTGAAAATTTCATTTCTATAAATGTTTGGATAAAACGTGTGATTGGCCTTAGAAAAATAATTTTATTTTTACGATTAAGTGAACAGACAGTATCTTCGTGGTGTTCTTTGAACATTATATTACGAAGCGTGAAGCTTCTCAAAATTTTGACTGATATGCGGAATCTTTTACCTTTAGGTTAAATAATTATTTTTATGATTTAGTTATAGGAATATATTTTTTGATGGAACATGATTTTTGAATAAATTAATTTAATCATAATTTTTGTGTCACTACGTTATTCTTGCGTGCATTAATTAAATTAAAGTGTACACATATTACTGGAATATTTAAATCAGTGACCTATATTATTTCTAAAATACAAATGGTTAAACAACAGATATAATCAACGTATATTGGGATTTTATTTCTTGCAAATATACGTTCGTTTCGAGTATCGATTTCAGCCGTGTCGTTAAAACGGCTCTGTTTTTGCTACCAATCAGCCATCGTTCTAATTAAAGTCGTTAAACGTTCCAACATGGTAACTGCGGTGATCGAATATTGACCTAGGCTTTTTTTATGCCAGTTGGAATTCTGCTTAATACAAATCCGATGAAGGTGTACGCTTCTGGAATTGCCCATTACGTTATATGGAGCGAATGGCGTGTGTTACAGACCGTAATAGAATCGACCACCATAAAACGAGCCCTGTACGTTCTATAATTAAAAGAAGACGTTAAGATCTTGCGGGTGGAATATACATTTTTTATGGAGCACTCATCGTAATGTTTGTCGAAACTGGAAATTATTAAATAAATCTTATTTATTGAAACGCTAAAGTTATTATATATGTAATGTCATTGTAATATATTACTCAAAGTCAAATTTATCTGCACTCTAATTATTAGCTATAGTCACTTTTTTTAAACATTAGTCTCGATAAAAGGCTCGAACTCGTTTTTTTATGTAGCAGTCATAAAAAAATGTGGCTCACTTCACCACATTTTCCGTCATCTTTCGCCACATCAAACTTAAACAGTTTTATTTATCGATAAAGAATCGGAATTTGTAAAATCAGAGAAATGATATGATCGTTTAGTCATGTCTCAGATTTGTCCATCTTCGTCGCATCAACTGGTCGCAGCCGCAATTGCCTTTCGACGTGCAAGACGTAAATTTCCAAAAAATTATGGTCTCTGTTGTAACTCCGAAGAAGTAACCAAGTTTGACGAAGTAATTATATAATCAAAATGAAACATTGAAAAGTTGCAAAAGACATTAGCTTCTACATTAATTATTTCAATTTTAATAATAATTTTATCTTAAGTTTCTAACGTATACGTAGGTTTCGTTGCTTATTATTATTTAAGTCTTCCATCTCTTAAACTTACAATCAGACTGAAAGCATCACAGGAAACGAGGAAACCAACGATGCGGAGAATTTATCGTTTACACCGAGAAAATGTTTGAACACGATGTCGAATTGTGTCGAGCCAGTGGCAGTTTGGAATGACGAATCCGGGGAGAGTAGCTCATTCAAGGAAAACTTACTTCAGATACCTATAATCTGCAGTTGTTGTCGCAAACGCAATGAACAGGGCAGTGGTGGAGATGCGCTTGATATCGTTCCAAGCAAAGAACACAATGGTATCGCGAGAAAAATTGAATGTTTCAAAGCAGAACAATCAGAGAGGTACGATTTAAATCAAAAGATTACACTAACAATTTGATGAGAATATAATTGTAATATGATGTAGGTGTTTTACGTATATTTCCATGGATAAATATAGGTATATTTTTATAGCGCTGTCTAAAGGGATGTAGGAGATTTAAAGAATTTTTTTTCTAAATACTTTAAAAATTAAATTAACCAATATTTTCATTTAAAATCACATTTCTATCCTCATGAAACGATTAGCCATGTCAAGCGTTTAATCCTTAATTCCTCAGCAACGATGGAAAAGCCATGAAAGGCTTCATAACGGAGTCGAGGAATTCTAGCCGCTGTCGTACTTCATATTCTCATTCAGGTAGACGAAGTCCAAAAGAAACTTCGTCGAAATTGGATTCCGTTAATCTTCTGTACGACAGAGGCCACGACGATGTAGACAAAGGTAACAACTCGTCCGAGAAACGGAGTGAGTTGAAATTCTTCGCGTTCTTGAATCACGACCTAATCTCGACGTGAATTATCGCGATAATTTCACTTCGTTTAGACTGCAACGCTGGAGAACACAGCTGCAGCGGTGGGAGAAGAGATTGCAAGTCGGCTCATCGAAATTCGCGATCTAAATTAAATGTCTCCGAGTCGCGAAAGGATAACGTGTTGCCCAACGTTTCGCACGATTGCGATTTTCATTGTGCCAAACATTCTACTATGAACTTGTTGGGGTCGCATACGGACTGCTGTCAATCACAGAATTCTCATCGTTGTTACCACTCTCACGAGCACTGTCATCATCATTGCTACGAAAAATGCAGGTCCGATTAATTTTTATTTCGCTTATTATGTGAATTATTATCTGATTAATTTATTATTATTATCTGACTAATTTAGAATAAATTTACTTCAGTTGTATAATTTTTATTTGCATTTTCTTTCAACAGTTGCACAGCGAAAGGCAAACCACGTCTCACTTCAGACACCTGTCTCTGTTCGTCAAATTTGAACGATCACGCAGTTCATTGTAACAAGGATCACGTACCCTGCAACCATGGTTGTTGCACGAAAGGATTGAAAAAGATATCGTTGGTTCAGGAGCAGAAAGACGAAGAATTAGACGATTGCGTGGGCACGATTCATCACAAGGACTCTCTGTGCATCTTGGTGGAAAAATACAAAGCGAACAGAAAGTGCAAGATCAAGAAATGTGCCGACGAAGCGGAAATCTCGGATGAACGAATCAAAGACGACAAATCGTTCACGTCAGAAACCACCTGTCAATTGGAAGATATTAATTCGAAACAGCGAGAGAAACATTCGGACAACAAACATAGATTTCGAGGGAAAACGTGCAGGCACGGTTGCGGGCAAGTTATCAGAGACGGAGACTACAATCACATAAAAAATTTAAAATCTCGTCTGATAAAGACAGGGACTTGCTGTTCACCGAAAGGGACACCTTGGAGACACACGTTTTACGTCTAACCAGATTTTTTTACACGACACGCATTTTATTTATTCAAAGATTTTTGTATTTGTATTATATTTCTTTTTCTTGTGCTCGTTATATATTGCCTTCTTTTTATACATAATGTTCTTGGTTCATTTGTCGCATTTTAGAACTGTTACTTGAAAGGAAATTTCCAATTCAACGTGAATCCACAAAGGGGACGTTTACATTGTGCAACTTTTGACCGATCGGTCGACTTCGAGTTGTTCAACTAAAAGATTTATAGTACGCTTAAATATTGGACATTTTTATCGGACAGCATGGTTGACGCATTATGTAAAAAGATGTTACGTTCAATATTAGCCAGTTGCACTGCATTTGTTATTATTTGCAAGAGTTACTATTAAATTCATTTAAATTCATTTTCTTTGCTATTTCTTCTATTTTAACAAATTGCAATCTACTGAAGTCTTAAGTTGATCAAACTGATTAGGGCTATAGGGATTTAGAGATAAGGTGAGAAGGCTTGGAGTTGAAAAAATTCGAGTATTTTTAATGGCTAAATAATTAAAATCCGTAAATTTCTAATGCCGAAAGCTTCTCGTGGACTAAATCCGCCAGTGAGTTGGCTATCACGGTTGGTCGATCAAAAGTTGTTTAATGTAAATGTAACTACAGTGGAAGTACGTAAATTTGAGTTGAAGTTACATAAATTTCTCTCAATATGTTTCTCGAATTTTCATTAAAATGCTCGTAAATTTCCCAGCAAACCGCCTCTGGTTCTAATTTTCATTTTCGCTTCGGGGGGCAAAAAGGAAGGTGTATATTAATTCGAAACAGCGAGAGAAACATTCGGACAACAAACATAGATTTCGAGGGAAAACGTGCAGGCACGGTTGCGGGCAAGTTATCAGAGACGGAGACTACAATCACATAAAAAATTTAAAATCTCGTCTGATAAAGACAGGGACTTGCTGTTCACCGAAAGGGACACCTTGGAGACACACGTTTTACGTCTAACCAGATTTTTTTACACGACACGCATTTTATTTATTCAAAGATTTTTGTATTTGTATTATATTTCTTTTTCTTGTGCTCGTTATATATTGCCTTCTTTTTATACATAATGTTCTTGGTTCATTTGTCGCATTTTAGAACTGTTACTTGAAAGGAAATTTCCAATTCAACGTGAATCCACAAAGGGGACGTTTACATTGTGCAACTTTTGACCGATCGGTCGACTTCGAGTTGTTCAACTAAAAGATTTATAGTACGCTTAAATATTGGACATTTTTATCGGACAGCATGGTTGACGCATTATGTAAAAAGATGTTACGTTCAATATTAGCCAGTTGCACTGCATTTGTTATTATTTGCAAGAGTTACTATTAAATTCATTTAAATTCATTTTCTTTGCTATTTCTTCTATTTTAACAAATTGCAATCTACTGAAGTCTTAAGTTGATCAAACTGATTAGGGCTATAGGGATTTAGAGATAAGGTGAGAAGGCTTGGAGTTGAAAAAATTCGAGTATTTTTAATGGCTAAATAATTAAAATCCGTAAATTTCTAATGCCGAAAGCTTCTCGTGGACTAAATCCGCCAGTGAGTTGGCTATCACGGTTGGTCGATCAAAAGTTGTTTAATGTAAATGTAACTACAGTGGAAGTACGTAAATTTGAGTTGAAGTTACATAAATTTCTCTCAATATGTTTCTCGAATTTTCATTAAAATGCTCGTAAATTTCCCAGCAAACCGCCTCTGGTTCTAATTTTCATTTTCGCTTCGGGGGGCAAAAAGGAAGGTGTAAAAAAGTGTACTCGACGGAGGTTCAATTTCGTCGCGTGAAGGACCACGCGACGGTGCACTTCAGAAGAGTTATTTTTTAAAGCATATTGCGCTAATAAAGTTAATAAACTTATTTCGGAAGTATATTGCTTTAATAAAGTTAATAAACGAGGGCATTTATATCATTCTGCCGGCGCGTCTGCGGTACCGCTGGTCTCTTGGGCAACATTTGGCTCTTCTTCCGCCGTTTCCGTCTCTTCCGCTACTTCCTCCGCCGGTTTCTCTGTTTCTTATATTGTACAACTTTCGTTAATAATTGATTCGCGCGAGATAAATTTTCGTTCCACTAACTTTCATTACAGCTACCTTCACCGGAAATGATTAACGCCATTTTTTACCTTCTCCAGTTTTCTCCTCTTCGTGCTCCGTTTTTTCCGCTGCCGCTTCTTCTTCTTTCGCTTCTTCTTCTTTCGCTTCTTCCTCTTTCGCTTCTTCTTCTTTCGCTTCTTCCTCTTTCGCTTCTTCCTCTTTCGCTTCTTCTTCTTTCGCTTCTTCCGCTTTCGTTTCTTCCGGTTCTGCTTCTACTTCTTCCCCTGCATCTGCTTCCACTTCTTCCGCTTCTTCCGCCTTCGCTTCTGATTCCTGAGTTGTGGGTAAATGTTCCGCAACTTCAGCTTCTGATACTGCCTCCACTTCGTCTTCTTCCTCCGCCTGTTCTTCCATGTAATCTGTTTCCGTCCTCGCTTCCGGTTCTTGAGGCTTGGCGTGGGGTTCCTCTACTGCAACCTCTTCCATTTCTCCTTTGAATTTAAATTCAAAATTAAATTCAAAGTTTATAAGATTTTAATATTGTTTTAACTTTTGTAGCCTAATACGACAATATTCTTTTTAAATGTTCAGTTGAATTTTTCTCATCTCAACATACCTGTATGGTAGTATATCAAATATTGTTTATAAATATAAACAAAATTTCTGCACATTGTAAACATTGTACATTATAAACCTAGACGTTTAGAATGAAAAAATGAACGAAAACAAAATTGTTACATAAGAAAAAGTTTAAGGGAAGAATAATCTGAATAATTGAAAGTTGTGGAGTAAATATAGTCACCTTCGTCTTCATATTCTTCCTCTTCCTCATCCATTTCACCAATCTGTGAGATACCTAATGAGAATATTTGAAAGATTGTTTAATAGCGTAAGAGTTTGATTAAAACTATGTATATGAATGTATGAGGGTTTAAATTACTTTCTGCCGATAAACGTGTCTTCCTCAAGTGCTCCTTGAAAGTTAGCTCTACTTTCGTGCTGGTGATCATCATTTCATGTCGAGTACCGTACTCCGTTGGGATATCCTTGCGTGATGTCACTCTTTCGAAAACCATGTGTCGCAGAGTGTCCAAAATGGCCCCCACTACCATTGACTTCGACGATTCTACCTTCTGGACGTCGTAACAACGTTTCCTCGCTTGATACTTTTTATAGGCTCTCTTTCCAATCGAAAATAATTAATATTATTCCATTGTATATTCCTTGTTTATCTAATAAAATTATAAGTTATCCTCAGGAGAAGCTCTCGAGGGTACACCGATCGAATCGATTAATAATAATTAATTCAGTACTCGTTGCGAGGTAACAAATTACTTGAATAATAGAAGCAGCTTCATTGGCCTTTTCCATAGTCAATCCAGAGTCTTCGTACATCATATCCATCCAAGCAACTGCTTGAATAGCTTCAGCAGGTTCCAGTATTCGTTCATCCGCCTTAAGAGGTTCATGCTCCGTTCCCGCTGAGAATATCGAGATTATTGAATCTATCTTCAGAATTCGTAAAGAATTTATAGGATGTAATATCTGATTCTTACGCGCGTCGATCTTTTGATTCCTTCGAGTGTAGTATCCTCGATAAGCGAACTGCGATTATACGTCATGGTCAATAATTATTCACTAATATGCTCGAATATTTAACCTTCAAGTGTCCAACAGCCTTCGTAATCTCCGCTTGAGTGGCACCAGCCTTTTTCAAGATGTCCAGCGTGTTCGTCACTGCTCGTTGCCATTGAACTTTCCCTTGAGCTTCGTTCAGAACCATCCTCTCGTAGTGACCACGAAAAGCAGCCTAATTTTTCTGTCCGTTTTCATTTTGTCGGGAAAGTATATTTTATAGTCGTTTACGGATATGAACTTGTATGACTGTCGCGGCTCGTTCTGCGTCTTCGCGTGTGGCTCCTGTGGCTTCCAGGATGCTTCGTATCGACATCATGGATTGGTCGTCCAAGGAGTAATCTATGCTTCAACAATTGAAAATATATTCATATTCTACGCCAGATATTTGCCATACTGCATTGTTTTAAATAGAAGCTGTATTTGAATTAGTGAACACAGGGAAATGCAATAAATACAATTTTAATAACTACTATTGAAATTATCTATTATAGAATTATTTATAAAGGTATTCTATTATTTGTATTTGCAGCACACTCTCGTTATATTACCAGTTTAATTATCCTAACCTTAACAGGCTAGATTTCTTAGTAGAGATCTCTGTGTTAATACAACGAAAGTTTGTCGTACACTTCATCAGTACATTGAAACAAAAATGATACCATTAACCACATGAACAGCAGTGCGCAGTAAACTTAAGTAATCTTTATTTCTGCATTTTACAACTTTACCCCCAGAACTACCCTGTTTAAGGCTGCACTTTTAAATTAATCACGTGCACCCTTTACGATTCGTAAAACCTTACCTTCGCATATTTGCACCGGTTGCGTGTCAACCGCGTCCAAGAACTCGCGGAATGCTCTCTGCGGAACAACAGAAAAGAAGAATGGCACACAAAAGTATCGTACAGGGCATCGATTAGCGTGGTTGCACGCGATAATGAAATTTACTTGAATTCGTGGAGCCGCGACAGCGATCTGCTCCAAAGTGAAACCACTACTGTAAAGTATGCTCAGAATTGCCTGGCTACCGAGCAGAATGTTGTTTACGACTTTGACCGCGACTGTAACGATAGCGTACGTTTAATGGCAGCCATTGATCATCCGGTTAAAAATAAAAGGAATTACATTCAGGTACGTTTAAATAAGGAACGATGCTGATGTCTTTAAAATGAGTTGAGTTCTTTTGAAAGAATCTTTGCAGGATTCTGTCATATGAATTAATTATTAGAGCGTTTATTTTATTGGAGATTTATTTTAGGCTGGTTTTAATTCTTTCGTTATGGCAGTACTTAATTAAACTGTATTTATTTCTTTTTAGGGCTTATATCATCAGATTTCAGAATTGTTAAAGAATTTAGAAATGAATGAATTTTTAAAAAATGTTAAAATGAATAAATTTTTAAAAAATGTTAAATTAATGAATTTTAAAAAAATGTTAAAATGAATACATTTTTAAAAAATGTTAAAATGAATGAATTTTTAAAAAATGTTAAAATGAATGAATTTTTAAAAAATGTTAAAATGCATGAATTTTTAAAAAATGTTAAAATGAACGAATTTTTAAAACATGTTAAAATGAATGAATTTTTAAAACATGTTAAGATGAATGAATTTTTAAAACATGTTAAAATGAATGAATTTTAAAAAAATTTTAAATGAATAAATTTTTAAAAAATGTTAAAATGAATGAATTTTTAAAAAATGTTAAAATGCATGAATTTTTAAAAAATGTTAAAATGCATGAATTTTTAAAAAATGTTAAAATGCATGAATTTTTAAAAAATGTTAAAATGCATGAATTTTTAAAAAATGTTAAAATGCATGAATTTTTAAAAAATGTTAAAATGCATGAATTTTTAAAAAATGTTAAAATGCATGAATTTTTAAAAAATGTTAAAATGCATGAATTTTTAAAAAATGTTAAAATGCATGAATTTTTAAAAAATGTTAAAATGCATGAATTTTTAAAAAATGTTAAAATGCATGAATTTTAAAAAAATGTTAAATTAATGAATTTTTAAAAAATGTTAAAATGAATGAATTTTTAAAAAATGTTAAAATGCATGAATTTTTAAAAACTTCATTTTCAAACTCTTAAATTTCCAAACACCTAAATTCTCAAATAACAGAATTTTCCATCAGGAAACGAAAGTTAATGAATGAAAGATGAATTTAGTTCCAGGATGAATAATAGCGTGAATTTAGGTTAAAGAATCCGAATGAAAAATTTCGTATTGACAGTGAAAAAGGTAAACTCAGCAAGTGAAATGTACTTTTCGTGTTTTCGCGCGTGATGAGAAGCGTGTCCACGTATTCGGCGATAAAAGCGTACAGGTTGGCCGGCTGCAAACGAAGAACCTGTTTTCGATTAAAAGAAAATCGATTAATCACTCGGGTAAATGTAATAACTTAATCGAATTTGATTTATTAATCCCTGAATTCGCAAAGATATAACTGTAAACATTCACTGTTTTTTTCTACCAGCTGATGTTTAATTACCGGTGACCTATGTGTGATATTTAACCACCGATCAATGCCTCACATTTCATTAGCACTGATTAATGTCTGATATTTAATTAACAGCAATTTTATTACGAGATATCAATGTCACTCCGGGAATACAAAGTAAGAGAAAACAGCAAAAACTCGAATATAAATTAATTTTTGTTATTATTTGATCAAAGCGTCACCTGCTGCATGGAGGAATTAATCCATACGGCGCAGTAACGAAATTTTTGTTTATTGTAAAATAAAATTTCATTTCACTGTAATAACAAATAACGGGGCTGTTATAGAACTTGATAATGTTTTCGAAGCAACTTCAAAAATATGTACTCATAAAATACCTAACAACGAGGAAAATTCAGCAGGAGATCCTATGCTTACCGGAAAAGTATAAAATAAATAAAATTCTCATTAATGGAAGCGAGAATAACATCTCGCTTAAATATGTATACCCCTGCTCGCGTTTCAATCGCAAAAATTCGACTATGCATTAAAAATGTGAATATGATATAGTTCATTATTAATACGATACCCGTTCAAATATTTAATCGCGTTTGAAATGCAATATAACCGAAAGGAACTGGCGGAGAATAATGATGTAAATTATGTTATTTAAAATGGGGGAGTATCATTTACATTTTTAATAATCGATTGAAATTTTATGTCGTGCTATTAAACTTTTAAATCATTTTAAACGAGCATTTCGCGATAAAATGTAGAGACGCGAATTTTTAAGCCTGTTGAAAAATATTTCCATATTTTAAATCATTTGAAACGATCATTTCGCGATAAAATATAGAGACGCGAATTTTTAAGCCCGTTGAAAAATATTTCCATGCCAAAGAGATTTTTCAAATATTCAGCTGCAGAGTTAAATTAAAGCGACGTTATTAAATCTTAACTGATCCAGATGTCAAGATTAACCCTGGGAAAGGGTGTCGTTAACCTTTACTTTAGCGTGCACCGGAGAAATCGCTCGAATCTCGGTTACTCGATTAAATATATCATTTGTAACACAATATTTATTGCAACAATGACTCGACCAAAGTTCGATCTTCTTCGAAATGTTGCGTGAGCTTACCTCGCGAGATATGTCGGCGCACAATTCTCGCAAGCCTTCCGGCACTTTGTATATGTGTTTAGCGTCGTGTTTCTGAAGCGTTACGTCCATTTTCCGAATACTTTTTTCCCCGGTAAAAGCGTGAAAACCAGCCGATGTCTCCTGTCAAAAATAGTGAAATCTTGCTGGTTGCGACGTTTCACGAATTGCTCGCGATTTTTCGGTCAAAGAGTGACGTAAAATGTAATTCTCTTTTGTTTCGTAAAATCGTATCACGCTGTCGTTCAACCCGCTTTTTTAAATATTCGAAGTCACAAATTTGTGGAGAAATTGATGGTATTAAGTTTTGCATACCAAATGCCAGATTTCTCTGCCACCGTGTACACGTTAAATAATCTATGAATATTGGAGGTTATACGTTGAAAGCTTTTGAAATGTTTCGAATGTTCGAATTTAGAATTTTATGCTGCATTTTGTATTGCAAATTTGGAATTTTATAGTTTAGAGACGAATTGCAACTTTCAAATTTATTCAAGTTTCTAAATTGTCAAGTTTGAAGCACTTGAAATCTTCAATGATGGTTTAGACATTTTTTGGATGTTTCTGTGCCCTTGGATCTCTATGATTCTTTACCTTAATTCTTTTAAATTTCTATGTTCTTTGATTTTTATGATTCTTGACCTCCAATCTGAGATTGTATAACCTTCGTACTTCAAATATACAAAATTTTTGGAAATTAGATATTTAGGTTGTACTTATTTACATTCTATCGCATAATAATAGTCCACATCATTCACTCGCAGCTATATCTGTTTGCAAGTTCATGGGAATTACGATTAATACAAAAAATCCTTGACAACGCACTTGTGACGCACTCACTCAAACATGAAGTCACCCTGAACTTTGTTATACCCTGAATCACCAACAGTATCATCATGTCAACAACCATTACTCAGCGGTACTACTTTCAAGTCAATAGTCAGTCATAAGCAAACCTCCGAAACCGATAAGTCCCCTCTACAAAACTCCCATCCATATATAAGGGCCCGTGGGCTATGAAGAAAGGTTCATTTCAACAGTAAAAGTTTAATATGTAATATCTCTGACCGAATCTCGCGTCTACGAACGTCTTCTTATAACTATGGTTCACAGCGGAAGTAGTCTATTAATCATTATTCTCCAGACAGTTTCTCACAGTATTTGTTGGTTATTAAAAAGATATTCCAGTTTCGCGATCGTTAGCTCTCGGTCAGTCAGTCATTCGTCGGCCATCAACCACGATCGTTATGCTGTCATAGTGTTAGCGGAATTATGAACACGCTCGTTGCACTTATGGTAGCCTTCTCGCTGTTGACTCTATCGGCATCGCGTGAGTAACCTGCATTATGCTCGATTTCCACGGACGGTCCGTCATCCAGTCGCGGAAAAATACCGTGTGTCACGAATGCACGAAAAGTGGTTCTGTCATGAAATTCGAACCCGAAACCTACAGCTAAAATATTGATGGACGCAATAAATTTCCTGGATTAAACTTTTGTATGAGCTCTTTTATGGATTTTAAATAATCTTACATTTTAGGAAATGTATCAAGTATAAAATAAATGGATGACACTGAAAAATGTCTTACATACAGGAAACTGTATTGGTCTTCAAAAAACCTTATTGTTACAATAAAACTTTTGTATAAATAATTAATACATAATTTGATTTAAACATACAGATTTTTGGATGTATGTAAGTGTGTTCTATATTTTAGTCGTGATAGATTGCACATTAAATTATAAATATCAGAGAAGTGATACAAGACAGGAGACTGTATTGGTCTTCAAAAAATCTTATTGTTACAATAAAACTTTTGTATAAATAATTAATACATAATTTGATTTAAAATCTCACCGGTCAAACGGTATAAACAAGATAACGCGTGGTCCAAACGTCGAAAACAAGATAAGCCGAAAACGGTAACGCCATCAGGAGATAAGCAAGAGTATAAAAGAAGAAGCAGGCCGGCGCGCGTGACATTAATCATCAGGCAATAATAATATACACTCAAGATAGTCGGAGCTAAGGTTTCGGGTCGGATTGCGAGAACATTCGATTGTAACAAATTGCGCACATTGTAAAGTGCTGTAGTGATTAAGGAGTAAAATAATTATTTTGTTTTTTTTAAAACACGAACTGATCTCTTTCCCGCGTAACAAAACATACAGATTTTTTGATGTATATAAGTGTGTTCTATATTTTAGTCGTAATAGATTGCACATTAAATTATAAATATCAGAGAAGTGATACAAGATAGGAAACTGTATTGGTCTTCAAAAAACCCTATAATTGTAATGAAACTTTTGTACAAAAATATTAATAAATAATTTGATTTAAACATACAGACTTTTGAATGTAAATGTATTTCATATTTTAGCGGTGATAGGTAACACATTAAATTTTGAAATGTCAGAGAACAGATACAATGTGGTGACATAAAAATACTATAACGAAGTATCATTAACGAGGATCCGTCAGATCCGGTGAAAAAGAAACGGGACGTCGGGAAAAGTTCGATTATTGGAAAGGTGTATGGAGTGTTTGAGGAATCGATGGTCAAGCTTTTGAAATGCCATCTTTTCTTACCGATAAAGAAAGTTTCAAAGTGTTTCGTCTTTAAGATAGAATCAGTTTTCTAGGACGCAGCTCGGCAAGAACTGTCAAGTTTAGAGTTGAAAGCACTGTTATTTCAATAGTATTTCAATCTTCAACAATCGTATTGAACTATGGATGTACAAAGAAGAAAGTTTCAAAGTGTTTTTCAGACAGAATCAGTTTTCTAGAATGTAGTTTAACAAGAATTGTCGAGCTCGGGGTTGAAAGCACTGTTATTCCAGCAATTATATCCAGTTATAGTTCTGTGTGAACAATTTAAACCTTTTAAGGGTTACAATTCAAACAATTTTTAAGATATTCTTTATGGAAATATTTTTGTGTTATTGTTCTTAATTGATCAGTTTTAAATTATCAAATTTTCAATTTTCAATTTCCTAATTTTCCAGCCCCCAAACTTCCAAATTTCTAAATTCTCTAAACTCTCAAATCACACTACAATTTTGTCACCCAATCAACGACAGGTCACAGTGTAAAAAGAAGTGCGAAACCACCATGGATGTACACCAACGCTTACAACAATGGAGGCAAAGATTACGAACAAACGAATTTCAACGATCACAGGGGTCCTCCAGGTGGTTTTCCTCCAGGATTATCCGGAGGTGGTCCTCCAGGTTTAAGAGGCGGTGGCCCTCCAGGAAAAGGACAAGGAAAGCATGGAGCTTGGAATGGAAAATCGATCGACGATGAAGGCACCGGGAATTTCACTCAACGACTTGGAAAGAACGACCTGTATTGTAGGTGAGTCATTTTGTCGAATAGAAATGAAACAATATTGTACACTGACGACACTCGACTTAGTTTTGTTATTTATCTCGATGTCATTTCATTACGATTGTACCACTTAAACGACAAATACATCGGAAATTAGAAACGTAGTCAAGAATGCTCGAGTCGGAAAAACAACGGGGTTAAACATTTATTTAGCATCAATTTTTCAACGAAATAGCGTTACTTCCGCTTCGACAAGTACCTACGTACGTGCGAGGTAAAACAGGACGATCGAACGAACACTCTCGACAGAACATCTTCAAACACGTAATCAACGTCTGTTGTCGTCCCGGAAACAGGAAAAACGAGTTCCGTTGTGGAAACGGCGAATGTTTGCCGAGTACCGTGAGGTGCGACAACAAATTCGATTGTCGCGATTCAAGCGACGAGCTCGACTGCGCCCGGTAAGTTAATTTGAAGCAATCGATTTAACAAAAAAAAACTACTTACAAAGAAACTCAAAGTTACATCGGGCGTGAAATCTTCTCGCGGGAAGCTCTCGAGAACGCTTGAAAGAGAAGAAAGATTTCAGTGAGCGGCTTTGCCCGTGATCAATTCAATTATTCCCTTATTTGCGTCCGTTTAATTGCTGCACCGTTCATTATCCACGCTGGACATCGCAGAGAATCGGGAAACGAAACAGGCTGCGCCCTTCCTGTACAACCTGAAGGTGGAAGCTACGAACTGGCTGTTTGCGGTAGACCTTGCTTCAAACGTTCGGGGGATAAAGTTCCCAGAAACAGCATCCTGACTTACACCTGCCGGCAGAATTACGTTTTAAACGGCACCGCTGTTTCTGTATGCGTTAACGACGTGTGGCACAATCTGCCTGGGTGTCTCAGTAAGTTTCGAAGATTTTTATACTGGAGCTTTTGCTAGAAAATTAGACTCTTGTCGTTTTGTATTACTTGAGTAAGTTGTATATTAATTTTTGTCTAAATTTAGCGCAAAATTTCAAATTAGGCTACGTTAGAATTTAGACAAACTCTGTGCTATAGGGTGAGGCACTTAAAGCCGGTCATCTGAATTATTGCTGATAGAAAAAAATGCATCATATCAAAATTATTTGGTTGAGGAGTCAAGAAGATGTGGTCATCTCTGTCATCGCAGTCACATTATTCAGATGACCGGTCGTGCCTCACCCTGTATATACTCATAATAAAATAAAATTTTCGGAGCGTACAAGATATTTTATATAAAGTCTACTTTGCAAGAAACTTGAAGCATAGAGGTCCGAGTTCCAGTAATTTCTCGCTCGAGTAGCGATCGCTGATGTTCGTAAAACTGATGAGGTACGCGATAATGTTCGGTGGTTCTACCTAAATCAATGTCCTGCAGTAACTTATCGACGAAAAAATAAGGCTTTGCTAATTTTATTCTTTTGCTTCATAATTCATAAAAATTTCTTAAGTCTCGACTACTGGTGTTTACTAAAAATTAAATTTCGAATATTATTCTTTTTAAATGCATTTTGACATTCTCGCACGTGGTTTTAATTAAAGTTATTTACTAATGAATCTCTCTTTTTCATTTCCGTAAAATCTGATCGAATCAGGAACATGTCCTCCGTTGAACAGCAACACGGTGAATATTTTATGCACTTACCAAGGGAACGAAGTGTCTTGCAGCGATCGAATTAGACCGGGAACAGTGGCGACTTTGTCGTGCAAATCGTCCTACAAATTGCCCGTGACGAATGACCCGGGCTATCGCACAGTCACTTGTCTCGAAGACGGATTATGGGACCGTCGTCTCTTCCGTTGTCTTCCTGGTAATTATGATTCTCGTACCTTGTACCGTCAAACACGTCGCTTTAAATATTTCAAGTAACCACTTTCTCGCTTCAAAAAATTCTTGTACATACTCTATTTTAATTTATCTTCATTTCTTCTTATTGGGAGAGAAAGTCGAAGTCTTATAACTTATGTTACTTTGTACTATACATTGAATACTTTTTCAGAATATATTTTTAATACAATTCTGTTTTGCAGAGTGTGGGACACCAGTCTCAAAGGGTAATACACTGATCATAAACGGGTTTGAGGCAAAGTTGGGGATATTTCCGTGGCATGTTGGTATTTATGATAGAAAGTCCGAGGATGAATTCGAGCAAATCTGCGGAGGTACTCTTATAAGTAACAATCTAGTTGTGTCAGGTAATTTCGTTTATTATTCTTGATACATATTTTCTTTCCCCCCTTCGTTGCATGAATTTCTTCCGTAGAATTTCTCATTTCTCAGACAATAATAATATAATAAAAACAGGTGCTTCTATAAGAAAAATTTATTTAAAGAAAAATTACATCGTGTTTTGCAAGCTTATTTGCAACATTCAATATAAAATAATCAGTGAATAAAATAAAGTAAATGTTCCAATAGCTGCACACTGTTTCTACGACGAGGCGTACAATAAACCGAGCGATAAATCGCAGTTCGCTGTAGCAGCTGGTAAGCGTTATCGCGATTGGGATATCGATGAAAATTATTCGCAAAAATCGATGGTGGATGAGATCCTGTTACCGGAAAGGTATATCGGAGCGAGAGCGAATTTCGCCCAAGATATAGCGGTGATCAAATTGATCTCTCCCTTTGAATTGACCGCTCTGGTACGACCGATTTGCATAGACTGGGAGAACGAGTACGAGCGGGTGCAGTTGCAAGTGGGTCAAAGTGGAAAGGTAAAATCGTTTAATGTTAATTAAAGATAGGAACAGACTGGACTTTCCGTTGATGCAGTTTGATTAATTTCAACCGTACTACCTTCTTATACCGGTGTGTACTTCCGAGCTTTTTAATTTCCTTCTGCGGTCGGTTTCTATTGGCTAATTAAGTCAGCCTGGATTATATTCCCGTAATTAATTCGTGCACCGTTACGTCGCGTCGTTGTTCCACTTTCGTAATTAATTTACCCCACCGATATTTTGATATTTCGAGTAATACCTTCTTTTGTTTCGTATTATGCGAGTGATATTTCTGATTCGTAGTCCGTTGGTTGGGGTAAGATGATCAACGATTTACCCAGTGAGACCCTTCAAGAAGTGATTATGCCCTTTGTGCCTTATGATCAATGTCTTTCGGATGTGCCCAGTGATTTCCGAGGTTATATCACGTCCGATAAATTTTGTGCTGGATACTTGAATGGTAAGATAACAAAATATTACTTTTATTACCTTGCATTTATTATTGTAATTTCCATTTGCAAATTTGTCATGTTATTGTTATTACTGATACTTTATGTGTTTAATTTAAAAGGTACCTTAACAAGTTCTTACTCTAACAAATTTTTACTCTGACAAATTTTTACTCTGACAAGTTCTTTACAAGTTTCAGTAGCTCTTCTTTCATATTGATTTCACAATATGACCCGATCACATTTGTTCACCACAAGGTTATTTAATTTCCAGGTACCAGCATGTGCGAGGGAGACAGTGGCGGTGGTTTGTGCTTCGAAATACGTGGCATCTGGTACCTACGCGGTGTCATCAGTGTTAGTCCAGTCAAGAACGGTAAATGTGATTACCATTCTTACACGGTCTTCACCTCGACCGACTATTTCCGCGACTGGATTCGTGCCGCTTACATCAATTCATAAACATCTGAAAGAACTTAATGGCTGTTTTTACAAACTTGCGTGACAGTGATTAATGATCAGTATACATTGTGGACGAATGTTGTTACTCTTGTAGAGTAACGAGTTTGTACACTTCTTTCTGATCAGGTTAATTCATGTCAATTTGTATAATTATTTGATGGTTCTTAAAGAGAGATGTTGCAAATCGAAACTATTTAAAAACTCAAAAGGTATAGGAAACTGTGATGTATCTATTATGAATAGATCGATGTTCATTTATAATGTTAGGGTGATCAATCAGCAATGTGAGGAAACAGATTATCAATAAGAAAATTTTAACAAAGTCTCGTAAACGATGGCAACTTTTGTACGTTCCCAATAATCAGAATCAATTTTTATGAATTATGAAGGGAAACATTAATCAGTAGCAATTATATAACTAATTTAAGTCGTCAAACAAAATACTCTTCGGTACCTCGTTAACTATAAGTTTACGTAACGAATCGCGTTAATCGCGTACACGAACACGTAACGTTATCGGATAAAAGGTATTAATCTCGATTTCACACAAGTCGCAATTCTAGCGCACGAATCACACGACAGAATATTTCTATAATTCATAAAAAAAAAGAAACTGGTTGAAGGTGGGGTTGAAATGTCTTTTGTCTGCGATATCGGTTTTATCTAACCGGGAATCCAAATTAAGGACGACTCGTTATTTATATCAAAACTTTGATATTTACTGAGAAACCGTCAGAAAATTTTTCTTGTTCAACGTCCTGTATTTCCCCAAGGAATTTCCAAATGGCGGAGATTATCTGTGACGGTATTTTGCGACGTGATTCGTAATGACTTCTGTTTCACGTTGTATTTTTCTTTCATAAAATATTCTATGGATTTTCAGAAAAAATTCCAAGATCAGTTGATATTATAATTTAACAAGAAAATCGTTTGTATATTAAAGAAAAATTATTTATGTTAATTCTTGTTTGTTGATGCAAGATTATTTTGCATCATTTAATGCTGTTCTATAAACACTTTGTATCTATTTAAATACAAGTTGATTATGTATCATTCAAAATGATCTTGCATCTGTTAATTCTACATCATTCATTTTTCAAGGATAAACAGTGTTATCTTATTATGACTAGGATGAATTCTGTGAAGTCAAGATAATAAAAAAAAATTGAGTAACGATATTTTTGCAACTCGCATTGAATAAAATATATGCGAGGATAAAAATTTCCTGCAAATTCGATGTAGGAAATGATTACCAGATTCATTAGCTGATAAGCTAATTGGCGGCAGTGTAACACGATAACAACTAATTATTTAATCAACACGTCCCCCGTTAACGGTGGATGTTGAACATCAGCGAAATGCTCGAATCGAACGGTGTACAGAACATGTTACAGGTTTATGGGAATCTGTGTTTGCTTTACATACTATTCATACATTTATGGCTGACGCGTGTTTGCCCATTTGTGAACGGGCTTACGGTCGCGAAACTAAAGGCACGGCTAGGATGTTTAATAAAAATTGATACTCAATAATTAAAATTTTCGAGCGCGGCGTGTGTGACGATATCGCGTTGGTAAAAACGAGTTATCTATTTTCGAATGCGTACTCGCGTTCCCGGACGAGACTTTTTATTTAAATGAAATCCCTCTGAAATGAAGTGGAATTGAACGTGTTCGTTGGATCAAAAATTGCTTCAATTAAAAAGAAAACGTCAATTAATGCTCTGTTAGAAACGGGGCTAAAGCTGTAAACGTTTTGTACGATTTTGTTTTTGAAAGGAAGAATTAATGATAGGAGACTAGGTATTTTGCGGAATAACAAGGAATATTGGTACAATATGTCTTTGATAAATTTCTGTATATTCAAATTTCCCGCTAAACTGGGACACGTCCATACTTTCCTATGGATTTGTTTTTATTTTCACTTTTACATTTCCATAGTGAAAATTGAATATCGTAAAAGACTAAATTCACTGTTTACGTGTTTTTCAATACTGTCTCGGGAAATAATTTCAACGGAATTTAAATATCAATGGAGTATCATCATGCTTGTAACTGTGACTCTGAAAATAAAATAACAAAATTGTCGACATGCAAAACGAGATAAAGATCATTCTTGGCCTGCTGGCGATTTGGTCCATTTTCGACGTTTTTGACGTTTTAGGTGCTGCAACGTCCAACGATTTAGCTGTGCCTGTTGAGAAACAGTAATGTAACATTAATAATTAATTAGTAGTTCTCAGAACTTCAATTCCTTTCTCTTTGTTTAGGTTAACCAATTTAATCACTGCAAGCTATCATATCGCTAAAGATACGTTTGAAAATATAATAAGCACCCTCGAGAAGCTACAGCGATAAAAATTATTTGCAAATTTTAATAATTATACTTTGTTGCATCACATTTTTGTCTCGTTATAAATGCATAAAATGTAGTCGAAACATGAAGTTATAATAAAAGTGTAGTGAATATAAATATCTATTGTCTTTAAAAAAATTGTAGCTAAAGTTTTATGCTTGTCAACAGATATTTCATTTCAAATTTTTTAATTAATTGATAATATGAGTTAGCATGTTCTTATCAGTTTTCTGTAGGTAATCCAGTGAAAAGGAACGTTGCAACATCTATGAAGGAAGAAAGATTATCGTTCGCAATAATTTAACTATCTCCTCTTATCTTTTTCGAAATGGATCTCTTTCAAGTCTTTGTCCTTTGACGTCCTTTAATGGGACTTCTTAACAAGCTCTGCAAAATGACTCAACTGACTGATAATATTATTGTAACTCGTGGAAGTGGAAAAACTTTTGATACACAATCTGAAATGAATCGAGTTATTTCAAAGCGGAGGCAAAGACGCGTCCTCCACGAGAATGGTAACTGCTTATAAATTGATTTCTCGAGAACACTTGAACGCCATTCTTGTTTCCGTTATTACGTTCAAGTGCCTTTTGGCCAACTTACGCTTCTTCTGCTGCAATTAGTTGCAAAAAAGAAAAAATACAGATAAAGCACGAACTGAAATTACATCGATAGGTGCTTCATGTGATTACAATTTTAATACAAAATAGATTATAAAGTTATTTAATATTGTTCAATAACTTTATTAGAATAGTTCTCAAATGATAGACTTTCTATTAATTACATATTCTTTAAAATATAAGCATGACCAAGTTATTAATTTATTATCCATAATTTATCTTATTTTCCCCATTTACTTTCCGCTGTATGTTCTCAGTTCCACTGTTAAACCGACATAAATTTTCATTATATAACAAAAAATCCAAATCGTGTAAATGTACGAGTAACACGATAACACGAGAGTAATATGCTAGAAACATGAGCATCATACGGTAGCCATTTTGAATCTTTTAAAATATCCATTACCACTTTTACGGCAGCTAGAAATTTTAATTAAAGAAAGAAAACGGTTTATCGACACCTGTAATTTTCATCCGTGACGAAAAATCGCGTAACTTTTATCGGTTTTATTGTAATTTCCGATGCTGTTCGATTTGTCGTCTTGGCCGATTCCGTTCACTCGTCGAAGTTGCAAATTGCAGCCAGGTGAATCGATCGTCGACGTTCGGTTATAGTGGGGGTGTGCTATCTGTGTAAGGGAAAACGAGCGGGAAAAGTGGTCGAGAAGCTTGGAAAAGAAAGAAACGAGCAGCGGAAACAGAAACAACAGGAGAGACAACGAGTAAAAGATGAACGAATAAAAAGAGGACACCACGGTGGAGAAAGAGGAACAGGAAATTGGATGAAGGAAAACAAAAAAAAGTAGAGTGCGAGGAGAACGGAAAGAATAACTAAACGCATTGGCGTAACTAGGAAGGGATCGGTGCCGCCATTTTACAGTTCTTGCACGAATTTACAAATCAATTTTTACATTACTAATTTGCACATTTTTATATTCTTAAATTTCCATGCTTACAAACTTTTAAGTAATTACATTTTCAAACTCTTTGAATTTCCAACTCTCAAATTATTAAATTCATAAATTTTTACGTTTGGAAATTTTTACGTCTTTAAACTTCAAACTTTCTAAGTAACAAAGCAGCAATTTTCTAGTTCACAAATTTCGAACTTTCAAATCTTGTAATTATAAAATTCTCAAATTTCCGAATTTCCAAATCTTCAATACGCAAATTCTAAGTCTCCAAATTTTGTAATTTTCAAATTTCCAAACACACCACCATGAACAAATTATTAAATGAAAAGGTTCGCAGATAAAAATGTTAGTTACGCCAATGACAAAAGGACGAGAGCAATCGTTTAAAGAGAAAATGGTGACTAGATTGGCGGACGCCACGGTTAGATAATAGAAAATCAGAAAGAACTGCGATTGTCTTGGACCGGAGACAGGTGGAAATGTAAAATGGCAATACTTCAAATTCATTTGTCGGACAATCTCCGGTTCTTCTAAATGAAGCGTTTCTGCCTCGATCAAATCAGAAGTTCGTCGCGTCCAAAACTGAGGGGCGAAAGTAATACCGGAGGGCCGAGGTGCTCTTACGATTGCTAAACGAAGGAAGAAGGAAAAAGGGCATAAGTGGGGAGTGATAAAGAGGGAGATCAGAGAACGATATCCCTGGTCCCTCTTGGTCGTTCCATGGTTCGTTCGTTTCGACGATTTGCTCTCAAAATTCATTGGGCGCGGCGAGAGGGAAATGAGCCTCGGCTCTCCTTCGTTTACCTCGAATCGTTCGTCTTTTTACCACCCCTTGTACTTTCTGCGTTCCTTGACGTAGCTTCTGATTTTTATCTAACAAATTATCGCTTAATTATCAACTCTAATGGTTTATGCTTACTTGCATGGCAAATTAAGTTAGAAATTTATTCTGTTCAATTACTCGACTACTATACTGTACTGCACCTTACTGTATCAACTATTATACCGTAACATTAATTTGTTCAAGGATTTCTTTTTAGTTAATTCAAGGATCACATACAGTGCACATTGCACTACTTTGATGTTGTTCAATTAATACAAGTGCAGAAAATTTATTAATGACCTTCACTGTGACTTTGAACTTAAACTTATGTGCAGTAGATAAGGGTAGGTGATAAATGTGCGTAGTAAAATGTCAGACAATTACTGCGCATGTCTGTCATGCGCAGATGACGACTGCGCATGTGTTTAATATTTAAGGTTATGTCACAGTAACTTAAAATATATTTACTTATTAAATTTTATATATGTATATAACCCTGTTAATATTAGAGTAAAATGATTGTCATTTAGATACTCTTTTATTAAGGCAGTGGTTCAGGTTTACAACCATGAAGAACTTTTATAGAAGATCATACTAATGGATACCAGTAGAGTATGTCAATCATAAGACAAACTTAACTGCCAGTTTTTATGAACATCTCTAAAGTTAAGATCAATAGCAAACATGTACAAAGAAAAGTTCAGAAAGTTGGATCTTTTTGACGATGGTTAGGAATAAATTGACAATAATATTTGTGGGCAGGACGAATCGATAGATTGTAAGGGAAGAACCCAGACGCCTATCCAAAGTATCAAGATTCATTTAGCCTTTGTTTCTCGCCAACAGCGACGGCTCCAATTTCGCTTTATCCTCGGCTTACCGTACCCATCAAATTTTCGTGCAAAGCCGAAGCTACCTTCACAGGAAGAAGCGGAACAAGAGTGAATCAAATTACAAAGGCACGCAGGTGGATTAAAACGCTAAAGAGGAAAGAATTTCCATTGCCCTGGAAAAAAATGACATTAGCGAAATCCTCGTCGGTTCTTTTCATTTTTTTTTTCGTCCTTCTTCAATCCCACTTTTCCATACCGCGATTTTTTTGTTTCCGCATCCTCCGTCGTTGTTTATTTCTCTCGTGTTTCATCTCCCTCTCTGTCGTTCTCATTTTCCCTTGGCCGTTTCGGTGCGTTCGTTTTATTTCATCCGCCTCTCGTTCAATGATCCTCCAGTTCCCTTCCGACCTTTTCGAATTAACGTTTCACCACGAATCCGCAAATAAATTTCGCGAACCACTATTACCGGTCTGCCAGCGAAGGAAGTAAATCTTCGGATAAGAGAAAATGGGTAGCCACGGTTATCATTGAAGAATTTATGTGCTCCCGAACGTTCGTTAACCATCCTCAAAGGATGCTTTCGCCTCGGAGAAAATTCACCCGGGGACAGTTTTCTCGCGAGAATGGAAATAAAATTGTAATTCGAGCACCTAGCTATGCGCGTGCTTTATTTCACGCTCGAGTTCCCATTGCAAAATAAATTTGTTCCAAGTTTACGTGCAATGAATCGTCGATTGTGTCCAATTCGAATCACTGAATTTTACTTTATACGCAAAAATCGACATCATGTTCCACGTTATTGAATATTTTAACGTGGATACCCGTTAGGAGACTCCAGTTATATTCCCGCTGTCGGGGCTGTTGCAATTCGTAACACAGGTCCTCTCGTTTCTCTGATAGAAATTGGCAGATTTGTAAAATTTTAAAATAAAAACAGAGTTTTTGATATAATATTAGGATTCGACGTCTGATTTACATAGCAACTATATTAAACTTGAAACGATTTTTGTATAAACGAAAAGTTATAACCTCGTCTCGATATAATATTGATTTTCCCCTTTATTTTACTGTAATTAAACAACTCTGCAATTCCAAAAATCACTTTCAAGAGTAACTGCGATATTTGCTCGATAAATATTCTGATCTAATTTAGTCGGGATTTCCATATCGCGTTACATTTTGTATGCCGGTGAAATGATTCGAATGTTTGAATTTGCAATTTTGACGAATACACCGAATCACAAAAGAGAGACACAAGGGCGGGAGGCAGAGAGGAAATGAGTAGAATTTCGTTACCGAGGGCACAGTTCATTTGAGTCGAATGTTCGGGCGACGTACGCAAATAGAATGCGAAATGTCAATTACGCCGTTCGCACTGTGCTTTATTAAATTCCGTTTCAGTTATTAAAGTTCCCAGAAAGTTCTGAAAATGTTCGAGATACGATACCGGTTCATTAACGCGGCGCAGGGATGCTGGATGAGGATGATCAACGAGTACATTTTAAAACAATTTTCACCCGCTCCTCAACCAACTTTGGATATTATATTATCTAGTGTCCTAATTAAACACGCATTCGAATCGTATGAAAATTGAGTCGTTTGTCTCTTATACTCTCATTAAATCTAGTAATTAAAATAACCCGCGTCGAAATAACTTCTTTTTTATTTTAATTTTTTTCATTATACGCTTCTAAATCATACGTAAATTTTTTAATTTCCAAACTTGCAAATTTTTTAACTTTCAAATTCCAAATTTCATAATTGCTGAAATTGAATAAATGTCCGAATACGAATATTTTCGTTTATTTAAACAGGATGGGAATGTTTATTAAAGCAATGCGAATTTGCCAGATGAAAAGTTCTGATTTCCTCCGAAGGTTTTCGCAATCAGACGTTTTGGGATCATAAAATTTTCCTTGTCATAGAACGTCTAGGTTCGTTTACTTTTAGCAGAATCTTTATAGGATTGGAAGCGTCTAAAACTTCTACCGAGAAGACAGTCGCGTTCAATTACGAAATACAAAGGGTGGGTCGATGTCGTCCGTTGTTCGTGGTTGGTCGTACGTTTGTTTGTCCTCGATGAGTCCGTCTGGGGCGGATATCCATTGTTCTTACAGATTGGGTCTTTCGCTGGGATTAATGAGACTGGTTCTTGGTCTCCAAAATGGTCGATTGGAAATTTGCTGTATTTTCTGTGTGATAACATTTCACTTCGAACAATTGTTCACGAATTAATTTAAGGAGTTGGGGCTGTGAGATTCGGAAATTTGAGAATTGGGGGTTTGAGATTCGGGGATGTGGAGATTTGGGGTTTGAGAGTTGGGGTTTTGAGATTCGGGGATGTGAAGGTTTGGGGTTTGAGATTTGGAAATTTGAGAATTTGGGATTTGAGGTTTGGGGGTTTGGGATTTGGGGTTTTGAGATTTAAAGATTTGAGAGTCGGAAATTTGGGAATTGGGGATTTGAGATTCGGGGATGTGGAGATTTGGGGTTTGAGAGTTGGGGTTTGAGATTCGTAAATTTGAGAATTTGGGATTTGGGGTTTTGAGATTTGGGGATTTGGGATTTAAAGATTTGAGAGTCGGAAATTTGGGAATTGGGGATTTGAGATTCGGGGATGTGGAGATTTGGGGTTTGAGATTCGTAAATTTGAGAATTTGGGATTTGGGGTTTTGAGATTTGGGGATTTGGGATTTAAAGATTTGAGAGTTGGAAATTTGAGAGTTTGGGATTTGAGATTTAGGGCTTTGAGGTTTCGAGATTTGGGATATGGGGATTTAAGATTTGGCAATCTGAGAATTTGGTGATTGAAAATTTAGTAACTAGGAATTTAAAAATTTAGAGATATGGAAAGTCTAGAAATTAAAAAACTTGTACGTTCAATACTCTAAAAATTTGGGACTTTAAAATTTAGATATCTAAAACGTTCAAAGTTTCCAACAGCCCCCAAGTGCACTCATATCGCAATTTTTCGTAAATCTACCGTTTTCCCAGAATCTACTACAGTCGGTATTTTCTCTGAGCAAATGTAACGTTCAAATAAAAATGCTTATTACGCGGAAGGCAAACTGCAAACGTCAGTAAGAAAAGATAAACTACAGTAGAATAGAATTATTTTAGTGTATAAGAGTAAACCGCAAAACACGATGTTAGAGCAGCGCAAGCAAGTAAACCAGCCAGTATACATTGCGGACTGTGTGAGTTTCTCTGCACGTTTATTCGTACACAACAAACTTGTATGAACACCTGATCTCGAAGGTCGGAGTGTCTGCGGTTCAGCCGAAACCGAAATTACGGGGTTAATGGAAGTCTGGACGTAGCTGGTCTCCTTGCAAGGAAACGGGAAACGGAGCTGGAAAGGTATTTCGGCTTGCTCGTTATTGTCGAAAAAGAGCAGGTTGCCCTTTGCTAGCGAAATAACCGGCCCCTTCCTATCTTTCACTCCCCTCCAACGTTGCCTTCATTTTCGGAACAAACGGCCACGATTATTTGTTACTTTACCCTACGCCTTCGCCATTAGAGATAAATAAGAAATCGGGCATCGTTAACGGCCAGACCGAAAGATTGTGGCCGAAAAAAAGTTTCTCCGATTCTTTCATCTTTCGTGAAAGAAAAATTACCCATTTGCTCGACGCACGGCGATACTTTAATGTCAGAAAATTGCGAAGGTCGATCTTTTTGCAGATTTCAAGATTTTTATGGCGTTCTTACTTTCATTTTGTTCTTGGCTCACTTTAGCACTTTTTTTCATGCTGGTAGTTTATCATTTTTATTATTTTACTGTTTTATTATTTAGTTATTTATTTAAATTGATATTTTGATATTTTGATATTTTGATATTTTGATATTTTGATATTTTACTATTTTACTATTTATCTCATTCACTGCTACATTCAGATATCTTATTTTTCCTATACTATTTACATATTTATTACAAATACCCACAATTTATTCATTACAAGCGTGCAGTATTAGGTCAAAATGATATTCCTCAAGGAATATTCGGGTTTGATGACGAAGGAGGCACTCGAGCCATCATTGAACGGCAAGGAGAGACTTCCATCAATTACGAGACAAGCATCGAATCCACGCGACTTTATGGTTACTTTATTACACATTTCTCTGTCTGGCAACCTTATGTTCGAACAACGTATTGTACGGTACATCTCGCGAATCATGTACGTCATTCGTAGATCTTCTGCAAAACATTCGTGAACATCGAAAATTATTCTAAATAACTTTCGAGATTTAAAAGCAATATTTCATGCACTTGAAGTGGCAAAAATTGTAAATCTCACTGCAGTTAGAAAATAAAAATACCTGCAGGATACAGTAAATTTTCATGATACTTGAACACCAAATTGTTGACTTCTTCGTTAGTCAATTTTTTACAAGTGCCTATCTCAGCGATGCTTCGAATTGTATCGACTGGTTTGATGTTCATGGATTTGAACCAGGAACGTGAACCAGTGCCTGTGCAAATGCAGATACCAGACGATCGGAACATGAATTCCTTGCGGTCTTCCACTTGCATGTACAGTGTTATCGGTCTAACTGCCATGAACTCTCCGATGAATACCTATAAACAAAAAATGTTACAAGTTATTAGACATTCTTTATTTCTGTACAGTTGAAGAAACTTAACTTCGTTCAGGGCTAACCAGGGTAGGATTCTGTGGCGGGGTTGAAGAGCGTCGACTATTTTCTTCCGTGTTGATCGGATGAGAGTTCTGGAAATTTGGTCACATTGATCACTAAAATTATTTATAACAGTTATAACAAATAGGTCAGTAAATTTGCATATAATTAAATTGAAAAAAGTAGTAAAATAACATGTGATTAACTGGTGTAATGTCTGAATAATTGTAAAATAATCATTTGTCTGAATAAAAAAAATTAATATACATTTCAAGAAAAATTGAACCTGTTGTAATATAAAGTAATAGTGTAAATTAATTAACAGATTTGCTCATTTCAGTATTAATATGATAACTAAAGAATTAAGTGGTTGATAAGTGGGAGGTATTCGAATATCAAATTTTTCGTAAAATTTCCGGTTCATATAATTAAGAAGTTTCGATTCCTTTGCACAAGTCATAACTACGTGGATATTGTAATTTGCAAGTTATAACTGCCAAAGTTACAGCGTACAGAAGCTATAACTTGAAACTACTTGGGGGAGCCTACTTGGCCAGCCACGAAATGAAGATGTATTATGGCTTTTATGAAAACATAGAATCAGCGATACGGCTCGCTTAAAACTTAAGAAACATTGCTATGAGAACTCTGCCTAACGTTTGTTTCGATCAATATTTTCCTTTATCGATGATCATACGAAAATGTAAAATTTTACCTAATTTTCTAACTGGGTTCTATATTGACCATAATTATATATTTATTAATAAAATAAATAATACCAAATATTTTAGAAATGTTATAAAAATAATATATCTACTGGGTTCTTCTTTCTCCATGTATACGGCTTTTCTCGTGTATGTAAAAAGGTCGCCTATAAAGTCCTTCTCCTCTCATTTCTGTTCGCACACGACTTCGCATCAATATTTGATATTCTCCCGAATGAAGTTTTTCAAATATACTTTCTATATTAGTAGTGTACTTATAAGGCAGCGGTAAAGTATCAGTCTTCGTCGATGCGACAGGATTGATGCCGAAGACTGGTTTCTGGTTGTCTTGAATCATGTTGGAAGCCAGGAGGAATGTGCCATCTCCACCAATTGGAATCACCAGATCTGCCCATTTTACGCATTTTGTTGCATCCTTTATTCTAAATGATCAGATAAGAAGATAAAGATAAAAGAACGAAGTCTTTAAATCTCCAAATAACCAAATTCTCAAATGTTTAAAAATTCAAATCTTCAAATTTCCTGATTATCCAATTTCAAAATTTCCAAATTTCCACATCCCCAAATTTCTACGCACCCAAATTCCAAAATTTCCAAATTTCCACATCTCCAAATTCCTGCGCCCCCATATTCCAAAATTTCCAAATTTCCACACCCCCAAATTTCCACATCCCCAAATTTCTACGCTTCCAAATTCCAAAATTTCCACACCCCCAAATTTCCATATCCCCAAATTCCTACGCACCCAAATTCCAAAATTTCCAAATTTCCACATCTCCAAATTCCTGCGCCCCCATATTCCAAAATTTCCAAATTTCCACACCCCCAAATTCAAAAATTTCCAAATTTCCACATCTCCAAATTCCTGCGCCCCCATATTCCAAAATTTCCAAATTTTCACACCCCCAAATTCCTACGCACCCAAATTCCAAAATTTCCAAATTTCCACACCCCCAAATTCAAAAATTTCCAAATTTCTACATCCCCAAATTCCTGCGCCCCCATATTCCAAAATTTCCAAATTTCCACACCCCCAAATTTTTACATCCCCAAATTCCTACGCACCCAAATTTCGATATCCCCCAATTCCTAAATCACCAAATCTTCAAATTCCCAACTTTTACTCCCCCAAATTCCTACGTCCCCAAATCCCTAAATTTCCAAATTTCCACCCTTTCCAATTACTGCACCCCAAAACATCTAAATCTCCAAATCCCCTAATCCCAAAATCCCCAAATCTACAAATCTACAAATCCCCAATTCCCTAAATCCCCAAATCCCAAAATTCCAAAATTCCAAAATTCCAAAACCCCCAAATGCCCAAATCCCCAAATCCCCAAATCCCCAAATCCCCAAATCTCCAAAACCCTCAATTCCCAACTCCCCAAATTCCCAAATATAAAAATAGTCCAAATGCCAAAATTCCTCAACAACCATCTACAATCTTTACTCTACCTTTTCGTTATACGAAATCTGATATCAAGTTTCTTAAGCACAGCCGCCAGATTTTGTTCGCAAAGAATCTGTTGTTGATGTTCATCAAGAATTTTTTGCGCGTCCGTCCCTTTCTCTTTTATCATACTCAATATTTGTTGTTCATTCAAATCAGGATTTTTCAATTTGAGAAACTCTAACGAGGATAATTTGGAGAGAGCCAGAACCCTCTGTGGTCGATAAGATTTGTTCAAATAAGTTGACAGTTTCATGATCGAAAGTTACAACGCAGATTTAGGTTAGTTCGTTACCGAAGTTGATAAAATATTGATACATTTTCGTACAATATGCAACGTCACCTCTGATCAATACCAATTAAACGAGCGAGTTAGTTTGATCTCATTATGATATTAAATATTGAATCACGGGATTGTTCGCTCTCTGCCGCTTTCAAACTAAATATTCGATATATTACCTGACATTTAAACGCCAACGGTGTATAACTTCACTATACCGATTAACTTATCGTTAATAAGTTTACTCTACCGTGGCGCAAAATTCGATGGGCCAATATGAGTGCTTTTATAATGGTTTTGTTCGTTAATGAATTGTGATATAATTGAATACTGCTGGAAACGTAATTAATATAGCCTCGCTGAAATTGGATAAATAGTTCCTGAATCAGGTGTCTGCATTCAATTACGATACTCGACTGATACAAATAACACAACAGACACAGTGTTTCCTCGAAGTTGGAAAATTTCAAGATTTACTTTTGTTTCTCCCGAATTTTGTCAAACCCCATGATCCGATCCCTAAAATCACACACCTCAAGATACCGTGCTTCGAGCTTCGAGTTTCGGAATCGTGTTCCTGTGGCTGTCTGACATCGAACGTTGTTTCAACTTCTGTTTCAACTTCATGTTGTTTCGAGTTGGCAGAGTATCGAGCAGTGACGAGGACGCCGTGCAAGGAAGCATGTTCTTCAGGATTACTCACGTGTCCTAAGTGATACTTGGCACTCAGGACGTAGCGGGGTTGCGTATCTTGTACGTCCGCTTCTGGCGAACTTCGCCGCAAACTTCCTCGAAATTTTCGTCTCAATGGACACTGACCATTAAAGCCACTTAAGGTACTAGGATCACTCCTTCAGTACGCTCGCCCGAGGATGTCCTGTCGCCCACCAAATATTCTTGAACGGTATAGCGTCGAGATTTTAGCTGGGGACCCTGAAGAGTTACCGAGTTTCCACGAGAGCCGTTTCGCGAGTTTCGAGATCTTCGTGTCCCTTTGGAATACAAACCGAACATGTCGATGCTATCGTATATGATTGGACAAACTTTCTTAAATAAATTTCAAATTTCATCCATTTCATTTCGTTGTATCGGTTTATTTAGAGGTTTAGAGCAAAATGGAACAAGTACTGATCTTTCAAAATTAGTTTTCTCAAAATTTCATATCTACTCAAATTTTTAAGAAACATCTACTGATTGTTGCATATCCTTCAAAAAGACTAAATATCATTAAATCGTAGGTGTTTATACATTTGTGATATATATGTGTGAATATTTATATATGTATTAACAAATATGTAAAATAAAGTCCAATAAGATTTTTGTCACAAAGAAGATCATGACTCGAAAATATTGTGCATAAAAATTTATTTGAACAAGTACGGTTAATTTGTCATTACGATAATGTGCATTTCGAGATAATAGAAGGGTTGTAATTTAAAAGATGTCATGCATATGCAGACGGCACGGTAAAGTGGCTCGTTAAGTTTGGTAATGTAGCACGATAATTGTATTTCCCTAGAATTTTTATTACACCAGGAGACATGACAACGAGCCAACCCCGACAGTAATTACACGTCCTACGCAGGTTTTAGCTTGAAGCGGATGCTTGAACCGAGTTTCCGCTACGTTGGTCGTCGGCGAACTTCCCAACAAACTTCCATGTTCTTTTCCTTCTTCCCATAGTTACTGACCACCAAAGCCACTTATGACGCCGTGACATCCCCTACAGGAAGAAATTTGTTTAGTCAAACTTTTAAGCCCGCGGGAAGAACGGTTAAAGTTTGTTTTCCCAGTCACGGTTTCGAAAATTATATCCCGCCGCGAATAGAATGCTAAATGTAACTCTGACACTACATTAGCCTCCCTCTTCTACAACTTCCTGGTTAATTTATTCGCTAATTTATTCTTTGCGCTCTTAATCGTGTTTCAACTTCAGCTGATTTAAATTCGAGTTAGATTGTTGATCTAAGTTTGTTTTTTCGGCTATTTTACTACTTTGGTTTTTCGGCTATTTTACTACTTTACTATTTAATTACTCCAAAATTGCTAAGTCAAAAAGGACCAATATTTCGAAGTCTGAAAATCAAAATACTAAGATTTCAAGACTAAAATGTCAAAATTAGATATTAATGTATAAACAAAACGGTATCATACACTGCAAAATTGTATTTAAAACAGTCATACAAATGGTAGAAAATGAATATGTAGTACAAAGTCAAGTATAATTTCAGAGTTCGATCGTCGAGTAATTAAAATGCATCACAATTTTCGCAGAGTTAACTCGCTTCAGTACCACGTATTGAGACAGTGATAATAATTGGCCGGTGTGTTATAAACCATTTGATTTCTGGGTGTGCAATAAAACGTGTTCGCGTGTCGAGTGTTGTATACATTGTTGCAGAAGCAATATCCACGGACCGAGTTGTAGTATCCTTTGTTCAAGTTTACATAATTCTGATAGGCATTGTTCCGATTCGACCGATTCTGTGCACAATTCTCGAACGGTTCTCGAGTGATCGTGAACCTCTGACTATTTGTCGCGCAGTGCGGACGCGCGATAGTCTCTTGAAACGAACCGTAGTTTGGGTCGTTTTTAGCCCAATAGTCTATCGAGCAAATTTCGTTCGATTGACTCCAGCTGGGTTTGGGCTCCGAACGAGTGTTATCGAAATGGCGGGCGCAGGGAGCGCGACGTTCCAAATAATCGCAAGGTTGATCCATCGTTATGCAGCTCGGTGTCGCGTTGCCTCTAATTATATTGCATTGCACCATGCTATGCTGCGTCGTCGGATGAACGAACCTCGTGCAACAAACGATACTATCGCTCATTCTTGTGCTGTGACAGAAGCTCTCCCTCGAAAACCGTCTGCAATCGAGTTGTCTTTTAGGTTTTTCTAACAACAAGGTTTGGTTCGTGATTATCGTCCCTGTATCGTATTTGGCCGCGGACGGTTTTCCAGGTTTTTTGTCCACTTTCAAAGGGGTTATGATGATTCCATCTTCCAAAAGTTCAGCTTCTACCTCTTCGGTTTGCTGAATACCTGTGGTTGCCGATTCTTTCACCGATTCAGGTTCCATTCTTTCTGTTTCTTCTCGTTTGTCCTCCTCTTGAAGACCACCTGCTTCTTTTTGTATACCTTTGGCATCATCGCTTGGATCTTCAGGGCCATCCCCCACTTTTTGTTCCACTTCCTCGTCGGACTTCGTTTCTTCTTCAAGTTCCTGTATCGTCACCAAGTTCATCGGTGTTCCCAGTTTCCCTTTCCCTGGACTTACCATTATAACCCCAGAAGATGCTTTCAAATCGATCGTGTCTTCCTCTGTCTGCGAGATTTGGTTCGCAATCAGATTTGGACAACTTGGGTTACACATCGACCAGTTGATTCTGACGCAACCATCGCTCGTAGGTTGGCAGTATCTTACTTCGTTTTTCGTGAGGCAAGCTAACTTCTCCGCGAAGTCGTCTGGAGGGAAAATACACTTCAGAGACAGACATGGCTCTGAAAAATCAAAAAACTCGTCCGTGTTTATGGTTTTATCTCTGTACGCTCGTAGAACTAGACATTTCTCGTCGCAGTATTCTGGAACTATCGCTCCAGGTTTTGGTGGTGCGTTTTTATTTTTTTTCAACGACGCAGGGATGTCAGTTAGCGAATATATCTCTGCGGTTATGTAGACTTCGTCGGTCTCTACGTATGCCTCCGTTGCAGTGTCTTTCGTTTTAGGATCGAGACTTGTTCCTTGACTGTACTCTATTTCCGATGTTATCGTGGCTGCCAAGGTCTTTTTCTTATTAACGGGAATTTTGTTCGACTTGGCAACGTAGTCGGTCATTTTGATTTTCTATGCGTGGCCCTTTTTATTTGAAGTATTTTGGTGCCGAACAAGTTAATTATAAATCGTGAACATTATTATTCGTTTGGTATCCACTTCTCGAGGACTACATATTAAGTAACCATCTTTTCTTGATATCAAAATTTTAATAAATATATTTTGTGGATAAATTTCAATTCTTGACACCTTCGGAAGCGTTGATTATGAATATCGATAATTACACTTTTGATTTAAGACGCATATTGTGTAAATTCAAGGTGCAAGGTTATGAGAAATTACGACGTGTATACGTAATGAACTTGGGCAGATTTACAGCATTGCTTCGTTTGTATAATGAACATAGGAACTAGCTGTACTCATGCAATATGAACGTAAGAATATATGGATGCAGCTTAAAGCAGCTGGGTTTGCGCTCATAGAAGTAAGGAAGAAACCCCGGGAGGCAGCTATATTACTGTGTAAAATTTCAGCTGTGAGATTGGTTAAGTCGCTTATTGGTTTAGCGAACACGAAGTCAAGAAAATTATGTACAACTTTAAACGAACTTTTTCCTAATCGACGATTTGCAAGCTTATTAAAGTCCAGACACTTTTTCATTAACGTGTATCAAACTGAGTATGTAAAAATAGAAAATAATTCAGAAGACCGATCTCAAATTATTTAAATTCGAATAAATCTATAACTATGATTAAAATCTTTTACCATGAACCGCACTATGGATACTTCTTCCTTCCACAAGGTCCGCTACACAGATTGGCGTTCGATCCTAAAAAAATCAAAGAACGTTATTCCAATCATAAACCTTCCTACTTTACCATCAGCAGATACACAATTTCTAGATACAACACCATTAGTATCAGTACATTCCATTCCAATCAGATAACTGTCACCGACCATACCATCGTTACCTTCTAGTCCGTTCAGCGGACCTGTAAGATTCCTTGGCCCCAGCTGCATGGCTTTATCAACGTGCACCGGTTTATGTTCGCGATAATAATGCAGCATATCGTCATTCGTCGAAGACTGGTCCTTCGAGTCAGCAATCTGAACAGAATATTCAATTTCACCGTCCCGTTCTGTCTGACCATTAATTTCCATCGGTGCCTCCGGCGTAACCATGTCTGATGAATATTCAGCGGAATTCATCAGTTGATTGGTTACGGCAGAAGCAAGACGTAAGGCTGTAGAATTGTACCGATGTATCGGTCGTTTCCAGCTGCTGATGCTGCTCCTGCTCCTCCTCGGTACTTCCGTTCAGAGACGTTTGCAATTTGATGTTCATCAGTATCTGCCTCTTTTTGTTGCCGACTTGAAACTCCGACAGGATCTTCGTCAGAATCGTGCTCGACGTTTGCATTTCAACGCTCACGTAGTTCCGTCGTGTTCGGAATTCCCGGTAGAATTCCATCGTTTTCTCGCCCGGTTGCATTGCTCTTGGTACCACTGCACCGCCCGCCATTGGAGTTACCGAAGTCTCCGCTGCCGATTCTTCCGCGGAAGTGCGATCGACTTCAACAGCTTGTTTTTCAGTTTCTTCAACTTGAGTACTCTTCGCTGTTTCTTCTTGATCCCCGGTCTCTTCTTCTTCTTCCTCTTTTAGGGATGTAGTTTCTTCTTCTTCCTCTTCTATGGGTGTAATTTCCTCCTCGTCTATGGGTGTAACTTCCTCCTCGTCTATAGGTGTAACTTCCTCCTCGTCTATGGGTGTAACTTCCTCCTCGAGTGTTTCTTCTTCTATTACGGGTGTAGCTTCTTTGTCCTCGGTCACTTCTGTTTCCTCCAGAGATATAGTTTCTACTTCTTCAGGTGTGTCTTCTTCCGTCTCCGCAAACTCTTCCGTTTCTTCATGAATGCTTTCCGTTTGCACGGATGCAGTTTCGTCCATGACTGTAGTCACTGTTTCCACGGACGCAATCTCTTGTTTCACATCTGCAATTTCTACTTCCTGTACAGTTTCTTCTACCGCGTCCTCCGCGACGTCAGCTGCGTCTTCTTCAGCAACTTCTGGAGAAAGTGGAGCAGCTGCTGTCTGCGGACTGCAGAAACACAACTGTTGAACTTGACTGGCCATTTCTCTGTCGCCACATATCATTGCGTGTGCCTGAATAATTTCACACTGAATCTCTTTGCTAAACCTTGGCGATTTCGCCGCTCCTTTAACAGGTGCTTTCGCCACTGATTTGTACGCGTCTCTTTTAGGCGGTGGAGCCTTTTTGTTGTTAATTTCCGATTTCGTGACTCTGCCGGTTCCTGTCGTTTTTGTGGGAATTCTCCCTGCAGGACTCTTCACGTCAGACTTTCTAGTGGCGGACAAACTGGTTTTCTTTGGTTTTTTCATTTCTTCCTTAAAGGATCGAACTGGTGGCGCGACGTAAGGTGTTTCCTCGATCATTGGTGCTTCTTTTTTTATTGGCTGTAAGTATCTCTCTCTAGGCGGCTCCGAGTCGGGATACCTGTCCATACGTCTCACGGCTCTTACTCTCTTCTGATACGACATACTTTCCATGACGTAAGGACATTCAACGGGTTCGATCACGGCTCGAATGGTGCTCGAGTCAAGGTTCATATCGATGCATATGGTGGCGTGATCCGATTGGTAATCGTAGTCTTGCGATTCATCTGGGTTTCCGGGTCTCCTTCGATTCGCCTGATTTCTAGGATTGGTATTTCTACGATTGTTGGATGTACCTGGCTGTTCTCTTTCAGTTTGAACGGGGTATCTGTTTGGGTTCATAATTCTCTTTTTTTGATTAGTGATACGACGGCCATCACTGCCGCCTCTTTCGCGAACTGTATCGCAGGTGGGTAGCAGCTGGTCCTGGAGAGGTCCTTCGTTAAAAGGATACGAATTTCCTTGAATATCGTCAGAACTGAAGCAAGAACTACGGTCTGATGAAGTCGCTTCTTGCTCATTGTGACAGAGTCCGCAGGCTGCAAACGTAAACCTTCGGATTTATGTGGAACACAAACTTAAGTGTAACGTGTTATTACTTGCAAATGAAATGGACAGACTCTATTTTATAATTTATCTGGTTAAACTATGAATTAATTCGATCGATTAATTATGAGTTGGTAATTAAATATTCATTGTCTACAAACATTTCTGTTGTAACAAAGAGAATTTACATAGCCGACTTTATCAAGTTAATTTATTTATTATTTACCCTCATACTGCATCTCTGATCATTTGTGTCCTTGCGATTTGTCTCTCTCCTTGACTGCCCACAGTGGCATTCCCATTTTACTTTTATCCTAAACAATAAAAAAAGATAAGTAGAAAAGACTCGATACGGAAGATCCAAGTATGCAGTATGAGGGCTAAAAAAATTTGCAATGATCCTTGCAGAGACGACTGAAACGAAGATCAAGGGTCATGTTGACCAGCTAAATTATCTTTCATTATACAATCGTTAGATCTAATCCTTGATATCTAATAGTATATATTTTAATTTATACATTTATACTGCATGTATTACGGTTTACACATACAGCATCTGGATCTTTTTTATAATTTAACAGAAGTGAATCAAAACTGCAATTAAAATGAAACTTACTTTGACACATCGGTATCTGACATTCCTGCAATCCAGCGATTTCCGAAATTTGGTTCAACGAACAACACATATTCCCACAATAACTGGCATCGCAAGTTTTTGATTCGATCATTGTTTCGTCGCAACATTCGTTAACTGACTGATCACATTGATTCGCGTATGGACATTTTTCCTTGCTACGACCTTTTGCGTATTTCTTCTTTAATTTGGCGGATTGTTTCATCACCTGACTGATACTCGCTGTAGCCAGTTTTACTAGGCTTTTACACGTGTCTTGCATTTGCGACCAAATCTTTGCTTTTCGAATATCTTCCCATAGCGAACGGTTGATTGCTTGACATTGCTGATTACAGCTCGCTGTTTTTTTATTGATATACATGTTACTTTCCGTTTGCGCTCTACGAAATATTTTTATGAGTTTGTTAAAGAAATGTGATTTTACGATGGACCTACAATGCTTCACATGGGCCTTACTAAACATTAGAATTTTTAAAGCATAAGGTTTGCAAAATTTTATTAAAATTCTTATAGGTCACATCTGAAGCATCCTTGCAATGATGTAGAAAACCGTGAAGTTCATTTTAAATCCAAAATAATTCACAACCTAATTTTCTGACAAGAACAACCACATTCTTCGATATTATCAATAGCAACAAAATTATGTTGTACAACTCTGAACATATGACTAACAATGAACCATTAAAATTACGACTCTTCCCTCAACCCAAACAAGTTCTTTCATTAACTCCACAATTCTACAATTATTTAACAAAAAAAAATATATTAGAACTATTTACCTGCAATCACGAGATTCCTGAAAGCTCACGCTAGATTTCGCGTTTCTCGTTTTCCCATAAATGCATCCCTTCTCATCCTCTCTCTCGCAGTCGTCATACTTTTCCATGCACGCAACTCGGTCCGAATAACTGCGTGTCACCGCAGCAGGCAGACCTTTGCAGTTCAAATTGCATTTCGCATCCACGTGTTTCTTCGGCTTAAAACGTCCTCTCAGCAAGTCCGACTTTTTTCTTTTGACAAGATGTTCCTTTTGTTCATGATCGCTCTTGAGCGACTCCTTCGAGTCGTGGCATATTTGGAACACCTGAGCAGACCTCAGATTGCAAATATCCGCAATGCTCTCGCTGATTTCGACGAACAAACTCGCCTTGGATGGCGTGCATTTTCTGGAGCAGAACGAGCACGAGGAATGATTCGGTCTGGTGCAATTTTCGGCTTTGGCGAAGTGCACCCGTTGCAGGCAGTGCTTGCTGCTCTCCTTGCGATCGTTGGGCAAGAACGTGCACTTGGTCTCGATCGGATGCGAGCAACACTTCTCGTTTTCCGTGTACGTAACGCAACACTGTTCGTGTCGAGGGGTTGCGAGGCTGAGGTTCGAGGAGTACATCTTCATCTCCCGCGGGCAACAGCACTCGTCGAAACACGTGTTCCCGGCTTCGAACTCCATATTCTGCCAATTTTGATACGTGCTCATGTCGTTCTGTGGGATCTCCATGATGTAAGACTCACAGTTGCCGCAGCAATTTTCGAAAGTGCAGCGGAAATTCGAGCCATTTTCATCGCATCCCTCTGCCTTTTGTTGAACGAGCGACAGCGCTCCGCTTCTGGTTTCGACAGAAATGATATGATATTTTACGTTGCAACGAAGAGATGAAAGTAAATTGCTACCTGTTCGTTTCTGGCTTTTTATGTTTCTTCGTTTTACTCAGGTTGAAGAAGGAACCGGTTAACGTGATGGGGTTCGAACGTTTTCTTCGTTTCTCGCACTTTGGATTATTTCTAAAACAAGGTAAGGTTAGTACTAAAATATTTTTTAAATTGTTGCAAAAATATGGAACGAAGTATAGGTTTGAAAAGTTTGAAAACATCCACAGTTCTTGCAATGTAAAGGAGTACATGTACAGATTAATAAGGGTAGTTTGATAATGTATCAGAACTTGAGGATGTGGGACAAAAGAACAACTAATTTATGAAATATCCGATTCGTTCCATCTTTATAAACTCTCTAAATTATTTACTCGTCGCAACAGTGTTTGAAAGACACATTGTATTTGGGCTCCGGAGTACAGTTGGTCGGTGTATCTTGATGTAAAACAACGTTAACGTTGATTCCGCTCTTGCATCGCTCGCAGGGTTCATTAGAGCCATTTACATCGAATGCCACGTCGTTCTCGTTCCCACAGTTGTCATATCGTGAATCGCAGTCTTTGTTCCCGACTTTTTCATGTTCGCACATTGCGTAATTTGCACCTTGTCGGCACGATTTTTGGAACTCGTTACAATCCTTCGATTTTCTCGATCGATTTTTTCGATTTGCTTCTTCGTGACAGGTATTATGAGTGAAATCCATGATATAGGACTAAAAAATGACTTCGAGCGATTAAGATTATATAATAAATTAATTAGGAAACTTCCAGGACGGAGCAATGAAAGGAATGCTTTTACAATGAAGTTTTTATACTTTCATTGCATCATTGTTAAACGTAGATTAAACTGCATTGTTCCTTATGGCCTCGTGTACTGCGGGACGTGTAACATGCTCTGAAAATTATGACGATGTACATATAATTGTAGTGGAATAAGATTAGAAAGTAGTCTTCAATTTATTTATTTAAAGTTAAAAAACATGCAACGTCGTTCAACCTCGTTCAAAAACTGATCTTTTCAATCTGTACTTTAAACGACCCCTGCTCAAAGCTCTGCACGCATTCTCAGCAGCCACGCACCCTTTCGAAACCGATATCCCCGTCTAACCGTTCACCCAATCTCTTCCGCTCTTTACCGAACACCCATTGTTCACACCTAACGCGTCCAAAGTTCGTTCACCCGTGCGACAATGAAACGTAGTGTGGATCGTGGCAAGATACATCGATAATAAAAAATTCACGGCGAGAAGGGTATAAATAAACGAATTCGCAACACGAAAGCCCAGGAACGCGTCGAACAATGGCTACCGGTGTTCTCGTTACGGTATCGAGCTTACGATGATGGCCGTTGTCACATTTTCCAAACGGTGGCAGCGCAAATGGTGAAAGGTGTTCGGTTTATTTCGGAGCTTGTCAAACTTGAAATTTGTCGGGGTTAGTTGTCATTGCCGGACGGTGGGTGGCCGAAAGATTGGTTATGAGAGGTTGGGAAACATTCGCCACTGTTATCAGGAGGCGCAGTTATCGCCGGTGTATTTTTACGGTCGCACGCGCGGAATATTCAGGGAACATGGAAAACAAACGCGGCGCACGAGAAAGAATATCCCATATTTTCGTAGCACGTTCAGTAAATATTTTCAATTTCTATCCCCCCGCGAATTAAAACAAGAATTCTATGAATATTTGACAAATATACCGAACATCCATTAGATTCGACGGTATATCGGCCGAATCGTTCAAATAACCGCGCTGCATGAATACCTATGTTTCAAACATTCCTTAAATTAACGCGATGATTATCGAGCGCGGCGGAAAATTAATTGATGCGTTCGTTGTGCAAGTAAATACATTTTTGTATTACCATGAGCTTCGATGATACGTGGGAAATGAATGGAGCGGCTGTTCTTGGTTCAAATTTGGCGCCATTAGTCTTCACAAATGGCGAACACTTCTTCGGAATAAGGAAGAAAATTTCGTGAATTAATTTTTCACTTACGAACTTTTAAATTTGAAAATTCAACGACGTAAATATTCGAGAAACAAGTTTAAGAATGTAGTAATTACTAAATTAGTCTAAATAGTAAATTCTTAATTTTTTATTCTGAGCATCCATAGGAACACATCCTCTTCTTTCTCAATAAGCTAATTCAAAAGAGAGCATCCTGTTTTCGATGTACCAATTCACCCTCTTTCTTCGTGTTCTTTCACGATGAATTCAGTGATGCTGCAATTTCTCGCGATACAAAGCGCCATCGAGGGAAACGGGACTGCGTACAGCCGCATTGTCGTCGCAAATTGGAAAAGGAAATAAATCATTGACGGGACTTAAGCGTTCGCGGCTCCAACGTTTACCACTGACATCGCGTGTCGACGAGCATGGAAATAATAGCGACGTTCGCTTCTAATTAAACCGACCGATGCAGGATACACGCTAGCGGGCCGTTTTAAAATATTCACATCGACAACGAAGGCTTCCGTTGTCGAGTTACTCGATTCGAACAATACGGACGTTTTAACGTAACGCAGAGTTCATATAACGTTTACAGTTTACACTCTATGGTCTCTATAGGATCATTGGCGTCATTAGGGCGTCATTACGGGATAGAGATGACTCATTCTAAAGTTTGTACTTTCTATGTAATGTGAGGGACAAGGTAAATCTTCTAACTTATATTTGAATTTCTAAATTCAGAAATCTTCACATGTCCAAATCTTTGAACTCCCAATTACTAAATCCACTAACTCCCAAATCTCCAAATCTTAAAATTGTCAAAACTGTCTAAAATCTAAAATTGTCTAACTTTGTAGATTCCATAATTCTGAAACTTCATAATCTTAAAATTCCTAAATTTCCTCAAATCCTCAAATCCTCAAATACCCAAATACGTAAATTCCCAAATATGCGAATCAGTAAATTTTTAAATTTTCAACATTCGTGGTCATATTCGGTGCGTATGATACAGTTAAAAAATTTGTACGATACAAGCCCAGACAGAAATCCTAATTACGCCAATGTGGAGGACCGATAAAAGTGCGTCTCTACGTTCGTTATAATTTTTCATTATTTACCGGGAGATAATTCGGAGCCAGATGGAAAAATGTGGCCGTTCACGGTCCACGAGAATCAGGCAGATTATAATTTACGGCTTTCAGATTTAATTCGCCGCTGAATCCACGGCTGCCTGGTTTGTTCTGCTTGAAAGTGAGTTACCTTTTCAGTGGAGAAGTTGAAACTGCCTCCTGTTGTGGTTCGTTGCTGCATCTCATCGTGTACGTACACTCTCGAAACGAGCTAGTAAATGAACTCAAACTAGCGTTTGTTCAATAATCGTAGGTTTTTGGTTGAGGCAGAAAATTTTCTAGTCTTTTGATCTTCCGTTAATACGATGTTATAACAGTTTGACTAATTACGGTAATATATAATAGTTTACATCTGTGATACGATTAATTGAGAAATAAATAAATGCTACGCGATCACCTTAATTTGATGCATTCTCTTGTCGTCCTGTGGAAAGTAGGTGTATAACAAATCGTGAAGACTTTCAGACCACCCTATAGTTTTCTCAGTAGCAGTGTAAAGGTGAACATTGTAAATTCAGTTTTTCATTCAGCAACGTTGCGATTTAAAAGAAATTTGGTGATACACGGTTCGGAAAGAGCAGTAGAATTTTGCACGTGTACAGGGGTGCGAGTAGCTGTCGCGTATAGTGATGGATGCCCGGAGGTTTAAATTTCGTGGAATTTCTGGCTCGCCCTTTTCCGTCTCCCTTCGCCGAGAACACCCTTTACTGCCTGCTCTCTCACATATTTGTGAATCTATCCGCCAGTACATTTACACCCTTCGAGGTGGTCCAACCTAACGGTGGGGTTGGTTAGGTTTCGAGGGAGGGTCACGCGTCGCAGAAAGGAGCAGACGTTCTGTCCCCGTTCTCTCTTTCTTTTTTCCACTCCGTTCATATTTCGCGTGCAGGGCACTCTTCGTCCTTCTTTATTCGCGTCTTCGACTAGTGGCTGGCCTCTTTCTTCGAAAAGCGAGGCACAAAATTGTATTCTACGCTGAGGGGAAAAGGATCAAGCCGCCTCCGCGGAAACGCAGAATCCCCGTGTATTTTGTAAAGGTAATCCGCGGCTGCTTTTCATCTGCGGAATGAAACGTCTCGAGAGGACGGGAAACCGGAAGCCGGCTAAATTTCATCCTACAGGTGCACAGATCCGACGGAAGTTCCGCTTCTGAAACGCGAGAACCTTTGCTTGCTTTTTATTCCGTGGATAACGCGTTATTTAATCTGTTCGGTCTGAAGATGCGCAAGAATATGGAACAACCGTACGTCTTTAACTCTCAAAACATCAAGGGAGCTGAGGGGGTTGTTTATACCCGCCACGTCTACTTCCACAACTCTCGCTAAAATAAATATGTCTCAGGGGTAAAAATTTGTCTGAACAGACTTTTGATATACCTTAACAAAATTTGTGCTTTGTTATGTTAATATTCGGCTCGTATAAAAATCGGTAGAGTCATGAGAAGAAACCAACGGCACAAATAGTCATCAGGTGGTTTCATCGATTGAAGCGATCCGATTAAATCACCGCACGCAGGTTACGTTACAAGGTATCGAATGAGGTGCATTCGTGACGATACGTATCGTGTGCATACGTATGCTTACGCTTAAGGGGTAGGCATTTGTCTTAACGCAACGCGTAAGGGAAAGCCCGAGGGATGAGGATGATACGCCATAGAGTGGGGCTCTTGAGACACCAGACACCCTCTCGCTGTCTGGTCACACGGCAACCCTTTTTAAGTGGCGAGTATTATGTCACTCTTGTGCTTTAATAGACACCTATACCTACCTACGTGTTCAGACTGCGTGCAAAAATGCTTCCCTTTGCGAGCCGAAAATAAAACGCGTCTCGGAAGGGACGAGACGGTCGGGATGTCGCGCCTCCTTTCTTTGTAAAATACACGAGGGGCCTCTGCGTACCGTTTTCAGTCACCTAGCCTAACCAAACCTAAGCAGACTAGGCGTGCGCAAAAATGATCTTTTGTCGGAAAATGTGATACTGTTGCGCTTGAAAACGGGGAATTTACAAAGCATTCTTCTAGGACAAAATATGAAGTGCAGTAATTATACACAGTTTCTTAATAATAATATTTCTGTGGTATGTTGTAAAAGATAAGTCAAATGTATTGGTATGGGACTTTTAATCTAGACCATCTCACAAACTAAGGGTCGGAACAGGGAAATAAAAGCAAAATAAAAAATGGAATACATTTACGTAAGATCTGATAAAAATGGTGAAGAGGATTTGTTAAAGGTATACGTAAAAATGGAGATCGTAGACTACACCCATAATACATGTTATAACGCAAATAAGATTTTAACACTATTCCTTTGAATATCAATTTCAGCGCCATGATTCTTTCCAATAAATCCTCTTTTATAAATGGCGCAACAGAAGATCAAGAAGACCGTTTCCATCGAAGTAAAAAGACGAACGATGGAAAAGAGCGTGGAACACTCTCTGGTCGGCTGCATCGAGCTCAATTACGTGGTCTCACGTGAAACCTGCAATTTTCATGGTGACTTGGGAG